AATTAACATCCCAGATATTCACGAAATGGGGAAACGGTCGTTCTCACGGCGGTCTCCAGCGCCATCCTGATAACCTGTCCCAGCGCGTAACGCACGTGGCAAATCTCCCTCTCCCTGTTTTTGCTTAGGCAAAAGCCGCCGAAGGGAGTATCGTGCGCGGCAGTAGTCCTATAAGGAAAGCATTACGGTTGTGGGAAACTTTTATACCAAACGAATTGCCTTCATCGTGGGGATTAAAGGCAGCATTCAGGCAAGTCTGGACACATGGGATCTTACGTGGAAGTAATTTTGGAGCACTAACTAAGCCACTGCCCAACCGGCAGCTCACATAGTGCTCTAACGGCTGAGATATTCCCCTCAAAACTAGACCCCGCGATCGTATTTCGCATGGATTTGTGGCGCAAAGCGTGGAGCCTGGCACGAAATTACCATGAATCCAGGCGAATACGATCGCGGGGTCCAGTTTCGAGGGGAGTATCTCAGCCGTTAGAGCACTACCTGCGCTGCCGCTTGGGCACTGCCTTAGTTGCCCCAAAAGTACTTTCCACGTAAAATCTCCATAGGTCCAGATCTGCCTGGACGCTACCTTTAAGCACGATGCTCTTGAAACAGCACTTTAGGTAATTCCCTGCCAAGATTTCAGGCAGGTTCATAATTTTTACCCGATGCCATGCGAAATGACTACGATCTTCGTCACCAGCGGCTCGAATAACCCCCATATGCCGAATTTGAACAAGATTCATCACAAAATCATTTTGGGGTCCGGATAGCCGAATAGCGCCATTAATTTTTTATATTACCCTTACTTTTATCGATTTCATTGATTTTTTGCATTTTTTTTGCATTTTTTGCATTTCTTTTTGTTTGAGCTACGGGGCTGGGGGTTGGTGAAGGAGGTAGGTGAGCATGCTGATTACTAACATAGCGGGAATAGGGAATTGGCATGTAGAAGTGGGCACAGGGAGAGGAGATAGTAATGGAACCTTTATCGTTCTTGACAAAGCCGGGCGGAGCCGGGTAGGCCAGCTATTCATCTCTACATCTTAGTCTCTCAACAAGGTACAACAAACAAACGATAGGTGAAACGTGTTTACGTGACTTCATACATCAATTACCTTAACGACGACGACGGACGCTAAGCGTTTTGTCAAAAAATCATGTTGCGCCGATCAGTCCTCATTGTCCTCATTGAGATGAATCAAAGTTTTTTCTCTTTTTTTGGAAAACTTAGGGACTGACTTCCTCAAACCTGTCATTTGAACAGCTTTTTCTTTATCACTCTCTTCTTGTGAAAAGTTAGGGCAATGACGTACGCGTAAGTAGGATCTCGCTCAAAGCCTGTGATTCCACCGCCGAAACAACGCAGCGTTCTTATAATGAATCTTTGTAAGATGCTAGAACATATGCTTATAATGGCATTCAAAAGCAGTGTCCGGACAAAAACGCGATTTTTAGAAAAATCACCTAGGTTATCCACAACATTAAATCCGAAAAATTAGAAAGCACAAAAACTGCGGTGCGGTCATATGTGTTTTTCAAAGCCTTACATTTTTATAAGGACGGTTCCCGCCAAGGCTAAGACGAAAAGTCGCTGCGGGTCTCTACGACTTTAACTGTGGCATACGTACTCTGCTGCAGAGCGGGAATTCAAAAAGGTGGAGAGCCTCGCCCCAGAACGTTAGTTTTCCAATTTCCTGACATATTTCTTGGTTGTGGTCAAACGTTATGGCCTCGCGCTTGCGCGATGGTATGTCCGAGAGGACCCACTTTCGCATGACGCTAAAATCCCAATACTCCCACCTTGTCCAAACACTGCCCTGCCCTCAACCCAAAGTAAAATTTTTAGCATTTCAACATTTCAAATTCCTTTGTAATAGTATTCAGTGTCTGCTCATAAAACTTTTTAGTGCCTTATACATGAGTTACATAGTTACTAGTTTTCAAGTACGTTGGAGCAGGCAAAGTTTACCAGCATGTACTGCATTCCCACTGTCATCGTACGATATACTAGTTTTCAAGTACGTTAGAACAGCCAAATTTCAACAGCACATACTGCATTCCCAGTATCATCGTACCTATGTTCACTACTGCGCTTAGAAAGCCACTGGACTACACGTGCAAAGTAACTCCACAGCGCATCCGTACGTTGCCGATCGTCAGCGACGAAGCTCAGTTAAAGGCTACCTTTGCATTGGAAATTCGTCTACTTTGAATTGACACAAGGTTCCCGAAAGTATGCAGACACTCCTCATTAATATGATCGTTAATATGTTTCTTCTCAAAAACTGTTTTGCTTTCAGGCACCATTTTGTGAAGCTGGCTTTAACTCGAATGGAGCGAATTTCCAATCGCTCAGCCTTACCATGAGATTACGGTAGGAACTTCCAGCATATAGCTCCACTGCGAATAGTCTCCGTTAAATAACGCCGAAAGAATCTGAAAGCGTCTGCAACAATGTTTTCAAGCACCCTGGTCAATACTTAACTTGACCAAGAATCTGCAGTTTTTTAACCTTGTAATCGCATTTTTCAGGAACGATTAAGAAACAGCTGCTACATATACTTGGTATAACTTTTTTACGAAATGATGGTAAAGCAAATTTTTTTTATTCAGAATTACCAACTCCAATTAGGCTAGCGCAACAATTTTCAGATATTTTCTTCTTTTTGGAGCAAAATAATAAGACTTACAATGGCTCAGAAACCTCTCCAAGTACTCACCGTAATTCTACCGTAATGAAGGAAGATCAGTAGATGGTTTTATACAATATTTAAATTGGTTCTACAAAAGGCACATGAAGGTAGGCAAAAAACTTTTTGGTAAGACAGATTTTAACGATCTTAGCGTATACATAATTTGTACAACCTTTTTACTTCGATCATGAATGTAAGCCAACTAAAACTGATATCGCCTCGAAATGTGGCGACCGCAGCTTTTCTGTTATACCAACTCTAAGTGATACATTAGTTGATATTTTTTGCTTTTTACAACAAGATCAGACATGCTACTTTTATGGCCACGTCTTCGCAATCCAATACTCAGACTTTACTTCGGTTCAAGTCAAAAGTTTGTCTTGTACCTTAAAATCTAAGAGTAGTATTTATTTGCGTATTACAAGCAACACCGACCAATGAATGAGTTGTTGATGAAAATAACTTTGCGTTAGCATTTTTCACATACTTTTCCGCGGTATCTCGTTTTGTAATCGTCGGGATAATGAGGATTCGTACAAAACACATTCTGTACCCATTTAGCAGATCTAAAAATTTTTATTAGACGTTTATAACTGATGTTCTAAGTGCTTGTCTAGGGTCTGTTCCGCAAAAGGGAGTAGTGGTAGGTTCTAAAACCGAGTATAGCGAGTATAGTAAAACTGTGTAGGCTGTTTGAGTGTTTAACTCTTACTTCACACTCGTCCAAACGATTTCATTCCCTTCCTGTCCCAAAAATAATATTTTGCTGGCTGGACTTGAGCTGATTCAGTGAGGTGTTTGCGTGTTTTTTTTTTGTTTGTTTGTTGCTAGTTGTTCTGTGGATGCTTCGTCTTTGTGTTGGATGGGCACGCCTTTTGCGTATCAAATGAATAAATAAATAAAATAATTTTCCGCCTCAGCTACTTCTGGCTAAGGGTGACTTTTACAGTTTAGAGCAAATCACTTACCCCCTTCACTTTAAAATTACGGTGGAAATTCTCTATTGATCAGGCCGTTTTAAGAAGCTAAAAGCTGAAACCGTAGCAAGGCTCTATCTAATTGCATTACCTTTTCATAAATATTGTGGGCTAATGGTGTAATCATATTTGGAGAACTTGGAAAAAGGCATGTTACGGTATACGAGGCATGACTATATATGGTGCACTTTGATGTAACGAATTACCGTAAAGTACACATTTTGACGAATGACCCGGCGATATGTCAACTTTTAGACGAGCAGATGTTTAAGCTACTGTGAATTGAAAGTAACACACTGGCGATGAGTTAGTACATATTCAACTATTAGGTTGGCTAAAAAGTAAGTTCGTTTTAGCATACAAATTGTCATAAAAAATTTTCTTGTTGTTTTCAATCTATGATATTTTGTGGGAAAGTAGTTCGAGGCTTCCTCTATCACATATCAAATAATCAGGATTTTCTATCGTCAGTAAAGACAGTTATGTGCCTCAATATTGCGAAATTTCCAGAAGCTCAATTCTTTGACTTCTTGAGCTTCGTTTTCATGCTGTAATGGATGTAAAGAACAGCAGTTTGGTGTTTGGATACAGAGGAGTTATCCCTATTTAGTGAACAACAAAAAGAATTGTGATCTGCCATTTTGAAAATGTTCCACTAAAAAAACCAAATTTCCTCATATTTGCGCATTATGAGAAAATTGCGATTTTTCACTTCTTTGCGGTTTTTTTTCCTGGGAAGATAAGTCTTACGCAAACAGAATACATGCTCCAATACCCAGTGAAGTGCTCTTTTCAGCGATACCAAACATTGGACAAAAATTTGTCAACAGCATTTGTAAGAGCTGAAAAAGCGACTGAACTTATTTATTAGCCAACCTAATATTTTACACTTTGACTCTTGCTGGAACTAGTCACACAAATAAAGGTATGCCTTCCAAGAACGAGAGAATTGGAACGATCTGCTCATTGTTATTATTATAATTTTTGAAACATGCCTTTCATATTGCAGATCTGAAAGCGCTTTGCATTTTTCGCAAAAGCTTCTAGAAAATTTGGTACTCTGAACTGGAACAGTTGAACAAATAGTTTCGATTGGAAAATATTTGCAACATTTTTGAGAAAAAATGTAAGGGATATGGTTTATACAGCCCTGATATCTCCAAAAATGTTACTTTGCTAAAATAAAACGTAAGTAATGGAAGCTGCGACATTCTCCCCATTCCAACTCTTGTTCAACCCATTATTTTCAGATTATTGATGACATTGCAATTTCTTGTGGCTATTACTGTCCTTGAGCATTGCTTAGCAATCGAAGTTAGGGACTGTACAGATGATAGCTTTGACCTTGAAAGCGTAAGCTACTGCATGTCCATGATGAAATTGAGAATTGCTTGTCGGTAGTGAAAGAAGAGGAGTAGCCAAATCAGCATTTCTCGCAAGCTGCAAAGCTATGGTTAGCTTCTCTTTCTTTATCAATGTTGAATCACATCTCAGAAGAGGAGGACATCTTCTTCATAAAATCTACGAAGATTTCAGACTGTCGATGTGACAATTCCTTCAGCATGGTGATACCTGGCCTTGATTTGTTTACATGAAAAAGAAGCCAAAATTTTTGAAAATGGTGAAGTGTATGAACAGTAACTCGTAGTATATTGCTTCATACACTACGAGTTACTGTTGAGTGCCTTTTAACACATTTTTGAGAAAAAAAACAAACAAAATTTGAGCTCATTTAGTCCAGAAATACTGGATCGGCACAAGCAATTGATATGGAAAACTTTGGGTATCCTGCCCATAAGGCTTTGGCCATACTTCGCCCTTGTTGCCGATGTTTCCAGTGTTACTCGTGTTGCCGATGTTTCCAGTGTTACTCGTGTTTCTAGTGTTACCGCCTTTATTGTTGTTGATTCTCAAAATGATCGCCAGTACAGTTTTTTCTCGGTAACACTGGTAATATCGGCAACACCGGTAACACGAGTAACACTGGAAACATTGGCAACACGGGCAAAGTATGGCCAAAGCCTAAGAAGATTCGAAGAATAAATGTTAGTGCGTTCACATGCATTCTTAGCAGCTTTGGGAAAGGAAATGGAGCGGGCATCTTGAAACTCACAGCTCCTCTTTGGAGAGATTTTGGAAGAGGATTTGGTACCAGGGTTTGCGTTGGTTGAGCCTTTTTGGAAACGCAATCCCCCATTACCTGGCGAGATTTCACTAACTCCCCTTTGACGTCAGTCAGTAGGGAAATTTTTATGCAATCAACATAGCAGTATAAAAGCGAACAAAGAGTATTTTGATGTATCTAATATAACAAAAAAGCAAAAAAACCCATATTTTGGGTTGATTACAGGCTCTATTATTGGGTATGGTAACATCCCGTGCTCACAAGGGAATGGTTCAGAATTCGAAGTGATCAATCCAATCGAGGTGCATACCATCAGATGCGGCATAAAACGCTGACTTCGATTCTTTATTCCATGTCTGCTTAGCCCTTAAGTGGACGAAGTTACGAGCCGTTAAAGGCCGTTAATTTTTGTTAAGAAACATGCATGCAAGGCACAAATTCGGCTGTAAGGGCCATGTTCGACTTGATGCATGCTAATCCCATGCAGCTAGGTTATATACTTTTTATTCTTAAAGCCTAGAGTTGAGCTGAAGATGCAACAATGTGCTTAATTTCGCGATTTTTTCCTCGCAATAAAACAGCCTACAGCTTCGTCCACAAAAGCGTGAAATCGTGACTGGTTGAGATTTGAGGCATCGCTAAATAGTCCGTATTACAGTTATTTTTTCCTCCACTTTCTCCTAATGATATTACAGGATCGCAACAACAAAGACAGCTCAATATGTGCTATGTCGTCTAGCACGAGTTCGCCTGTGTTCAAACATCCTTGCGTCAACGTTAACCTGGACCCAATGCGAGAGGATAAGATTTTATATAAGAGTGATTAGGTGAGTAACATCATCACGAAATTTCTCGCATTCTAAGAATTTCTTTCAGAAATTTTCCTTTTCAGAGTGTATTATCGTCGAAAACCATCTTACCTTCCTATTTCCATCCTAAAGGGAACTCGTTCGTCAGATATCTAAGGACCAGAGGTGCGATGGGGGGGGGGGGGAGAAGAGGAGCTGGGCCCTCCAAAAGTGGGGGTGGTCCCAGCTACTACCGGCCGCCAAAAGTGAAGATGGTAGTGCCGGACATCACCTCCCAAAAACGTCGACAGGGGGAGGAGAAGAAGGAGGGGGGGGGGGGGGAGCGTCGAAGGGTTGAAATGAGCCTATCCTTTCAGGTCGTTGCCGGCCGCGAATGCGCCGGTGCCGATGCCGTATTCCGCATCCACTCCTCGGCACTCTTTAAGATTTTGAAGAACAAAATTCCATGATGACTTCGGATAGTTAAAGAGCTTTAACCCAACGGTCCTCTTTAGGGCCAACAACTGTGACCCAACGGCCCTGTTTAAGGCCACAAATACGATGAGTATAGCAGCATGATTATTTCAAATAAACGTGTTAATTAAATGGTGTATTTGCAAGGTGGAGGCTTTTTTACCATTGTAAAAAGACCTTTACTTGAAAAGCCTGTACTTGAGCACTCCCATTATAAAAATCTCACCCACCCTTCACCCGGCACTTTTTATAACGGACCCCAAGCAAACTATATATTAGCTGAAAGCGAGGACAAGTGGTTCCGGTATTTTACTAAAGGTTCGTAAATATCTAGAAAACACCACCCACACGCTTCACAAGGCACTTTTTTGAAAGGACTTCAGACAAACTATATAATTTCTGAGAGCGGACGAAAAGATGGCTCTGATAAATGCTCAAAAATTGTCTACCTCTTTTCCTAAACAGATGCTCTCGCATACACATCTTCTACCCTATGGTATTTTCAAATCATTACTTCTCTTCACATTTTAGAAAAAAGACAACAAATGATGGCAGCGAGTTGGAATTGATAATCGTGATTAGGAATGATGAGAAAATGCCATCGCTCCTTTTCCTCCTCCCGTCCCCCTCGGTCGAAATTTTACAATTTCTCGACAAGTGAAACACCCTTTACTCTGGAGGGGCTGCGACCACTGTGACCCCTTCACTTTGGAGGAGTTCATTCTCACCTTATCGCACCTATGACCCCTACGATCCACTATTTTTTAATTGAAAATATGCTTTTATTTTTGTTGTTTTGCTGATAAAATTTCTTGTAATCTAAGAATGTACAAAGAAGGAAAGGTGCAGAGGTGGGGAGGGGGGAAGGGGAATGGCCAGGGAGGGGGGGTCGTATCTGGCGGCCTTGCGCCGGACCTCTTGCTCAACCCTGGTCGCTACCCTGTACGATTTCTTCTTAGTTTTATATTCAATTCCCATAACAAGCCTGTGACGGTGACCACCTTACACAAAGAAAGCCATTAAGAAACTCAGACAATTTAAGGGAACTTCCCGAAGGCTTCAGCGGAGTCTCCGGAGGATCACCTGGGGAAGTACCGCTATCGTCCTCGGGAAGTTCCCTCAAAGCTTTTGGGAACTTCCCATCTTTTGGCTTTAGCAGGACTTTTTTACTCGACTAGACCATCGTAAGAATATTTCCTGCTCACTTCTTTGGATGCTTCCATCGTACACATTGTTACACTCACGAGAGTTGAAAAGAATTATTTATTTATCTATTTTTCGTGGCAATACGTTCGCGTAGAAACATTGCGATGATAATAGAAAAGAAACTGCCAAAAATGTGCTACAGAGATCAGATCAGTAAGAATTCGTGAAAGCAGCGACTGAACGTTGATAGTGACCTTGATACAAGAGGCATAACAGAAGAAAACCAAAAGAACAAAAAGGAAAGAACAAATACAGGAGATGGCTGATGTAATATCCGTATTAAAAATGAGCCAATGGTAGCAGTATTGATGGGCAGGACACTCGCCGATGGACTGGCTATACGTCCCTCATGTGCAGCGCCATTCTTCTCCATTCCTGTTTCGACATTCGCGCTTTATCTTCTCTTCCGAATCCATTCTGCACGGAGTTGGACTTCAAAAAGAAAAAAATAAACTTATGGTTTGAAAATCTAAGTCTATACCTTTGCAGGAATCAGTTTTCCTTCATGAAGACGATAGTATCTTATGTCTTCGCTGCAAAATTCAGATTTAGTGGAAAAACAATCAAAACCGTAAAAAAGCTTGCAGCGCTTCGGAGATGCAGATTCCAATTTGGCTACTCCAGTATGACTTCTTCTCAAGAAGGATGTTGAATTTTTTGTCCCGCTCCTCGTCACTTTGGCCTAACGATAACCAAAAGCTGAAACGCTATTCATCAGAGAAATTGAGAACCCCAACGAAAGAAGAACCACTCATTGAGAACTCCAACGCACCTATCGCGAGAATTTCTCAAAGCATCGAGTCTGTCTCCTTGCAGATCATAGTGCCCCAGATCCAGTGTATCCAGCGCAAAGTCTGAAAAACTCGTTTTTTTTAAGGAATCGTACATAACCACTTGTACCTGTAAGTGTTATAGTGAGGGATTCCGGCAGGTCGATCAAATCTTGTTTGCGTGAGATGTTGGAAATCCGATGCGCATAATTCCATATGTCGGATGGATCCGGCGCGCAAATATTCAAGAAGCTTTTGCTAACAACAAGCGGATCTAGTTTAAGAAAGCCATTTTCTACTTTAGGCTCTACCCCAGTCTTCAAGCTTTTATTCTGAAAATTCTGATTGCAAAAGAATTTTAGAACGATCTCGGATTTCTCCTTACGATATGGACGAGAATACGACATCTTAGAATCAGGTCTTGTTTGTTTCTGGGTAATTGAGAAACTCTCTTATTTTTATTCTGTACCGGGCGAAAATTCCTTGCATTAATTTCTTGCGACTTTTGAGAAAACAGCAGCGACAGGTATACGAAAAGAATTTATAGGCTCAAAATTCATTTGCTTTTTTTTCCTCTTTGCTTTATGCGACTACACAGAATAGAAAAGACATACTTTTGTGAATTGAGCAAGAGAGAATTTTAGATTTTTAGCATTGGTTGAAAAGAACGGTTGTTCTTCCAGCGATAACAATTCAAAAAAGGGCTGAAACGGCCAGAACTTTGGTAACAACTTAGCGTATCCTATAGCATGTCAAGAGCATGTCATTAGTTATGTATTTATATCACCACACCTGCTTGAATACTGTGCGCATGAACTCCGTAATGACAAGGCATGTTTTGTGTTTCACTCTGTTTGTCGGGGCGTATGCCCTTAGAGTATCGTTGAGGACTGCTTCGTATGATGAGTGTATATTGTGGTCACTCAGTTGATTCTTGGTCCTAGATACCTTAAATGGAGAGCCATACTTGATCACGTGATGTCCTTTCAGATTTTCGTAGCCAAAAATTGTTCCCGGTGTTTCATTAGTCCCTGCGCCATTGCGCTTGCACATCTGCTTGAGGGAGTTTACTTGCCCCTCAAGCTCTTTAATCTTTGCCAAAAGCAAATTCTCCTGGAAAGTGCCGCACAAGTAATTGGTCAGAAAAAAAATGTAAGATTAGAAAGGTGTTTGTTCTCCATGTTATTCGTTTGGGTTATGCCACAATAATTTAGATCATCTTATTTACAAAATGCACTCGCCTGGATTCGGGTGCTAAGCGCGGTCTCTACTACCAGTCGCGTAGTTTCGTTAAGGTCATACTGTGTTCCAAGACGGAACCTTTCAGCGCTTTGCACCAATTTGTAGATGTCTTCCAGATCAAAGCGTTAAATTTGCCGCGTACAGTGGTGCAGCGTTTCCTAAAGGATACGTTTTCGTTGCCTAACGCGACAAGAAGAAGAAATAAGAAACCGTGGCATACAGATATATACAGAAAAGCGGTGAGTTTCACAAAAAAAAGAGAACGTTACGTGCACCTAGGTTGTAAGCTATCCTTGATCACCAATTTAGTCAAAGAGGTAACGGTACAAAAGCGTAGCAACTACTAAAGTAGAGTTCGATGTCCTCGCTATCATTGTGTGGTGCATGGCGGTCTTCGTTAATCTGTGTTAAACGCGAAAATCCTCGTTTGCAAGTTTGAGCCGATAAAAAGTGGTGTAAGACAACTTCATGGATGGCAGTGGTGCCCCAGCACTACTCAGGGCTACCGCGCAAACCGCCCGCGCAGGCACCCGGTAGGAATAGATGGCGCCCTACCCTACTTGCACTGCAGGTAAAACGCGGTAAAGTAGCCGCGCCACTAATGCCATTTTGTGCGTAGTTAGTCGTTCACGCACAAATTATACCGCATTTCACCTGCTGTACAAGCTAAGTATATTAAGGGAAGGATTTACTCAACTGCAAACCGGAACTACTCAGAAGACCATTTCAATTCGAACACTTCCCCGCAAAAGAATACTGCAACAATGGCAATGACACAAGCCGCTCGTGACAACCAAGACTATACAGGATGCCCCAAAGTCCCTACTGTTTCGTCCTTAGTAACTCTCCTACCCCATTGTTTTTTACAGCTCGTACGGTAACATTGAAGAATTGGCTTGAACTTGAATTTGTAGTATAGGGCAAATTACCAAATTCTTTTCTTTGCTGTAGAATTACGGTAGGAACTCGTACATATGACGCGTTGTAAGATAGGCATTCTGAAAAAAAGGTATCGGAAAATTCTGGGAAGTTCCCTGCATGGATGCTGATAACACTACACAATTTCTGAGTTCTCAGACCATTTTGAATGGTGCAATCAACCTTTCGGGGTTATCGAAAGTAAGTTGTTACGGTCTATCCGGCTTAACTCATAGGAGAAGCACTAATCTGATGTACGATTCCGTATTTGTAATCATTGACTTTGACTAATCTAGTGTAAAAATTTTCAAATTCTCTTCCAGGAGTAATATGGTTCATAATAAGCCAATAACCTCTTCAAAATATTACCGTAATCTTACAGTAACGGAAAGAGGTACATAATCCGCTCCAAATCGCAAATCTAATGTAATTTGAAGCCAACCCTACAAAATCATACCTCAGCAGAGCTGTGAAAGACAATGAAGTTATCAACAATCAAATAGCAGGAGAGTTATCAATAATCAAATAGCAGCTACTTCTGAGACATTCCATAATTTGCAGTTGTGGCTTACATGGGCCCTTACAAGACTCTTATGAGAGCGAAACAGCATGCTTCCACGCAAAACTCATTTGCTCCGCCCTTGCTCTCGCCTGCTCGGAGTCTGGCCGATGGCAGCAGACACGCTGACCAATCGTAGTCGGGTCGCTATGAAAGGCAGTTTAGGCTACCGTTGACCCACATTACCTTATGAACTGTAACCTCATAAGAAGATGGATTCCCATATAAGCGAAGCAAACTATGTTTACAAAATTACAAAATTTCTTTTCGACAAACTTACCCAAAGATCTAACATACTGGGCCCTTTTGACCTAGATAAGGCTGTCTTGCTTTGTTTCCATTATAACTAACCTAGAATCATGTCAGATGAACAGGATGCGGCCTTATTCTGTATCGGACTTTTTAGACGAATTTCTGTGCGTGGAGGCCCTAAATGTCAGATTTTAGGGTAACGACGGATCAAAAAAAACCTCTAATGTAATTTGAATATAGAGACACTCAAGAGTTCTGAGGGAGTTATTAGCATTCAGAAATTTCTACGCCTAGATCTGTCAGAGAGCCGATGGTTCATAAACGCAAGAGAAGTGCAAGGCAGACGACCGAGCAGGTGCATAAATGAAAGTGGAATTGCACGCTTACGCAATCCATATCGACGAAATCGATAGGTCATGACGCCCGCGGTAGACTAAAACTGCGCTATTTTTGACAAATTCTTTGTCTTATTAATGCTTAAATGGTGTAATGTTTGAATGGTAAAGTTAAAAAGTCCCTTCACTCAGTTCTTTGACAAAATAAATTATCCCGAAGTCTTCCTTTCTTCCTACTTCACTTATTTCCAACCTTCCCAGCTGCAAAGTCCTGGGGAAGTTCCCTCATACCTAAGTGCTCGGGAGGTACTGCATTTAAGGGAACATCCCGAGGATTTCCTCGGGAAGTTCCCAACTTCATTGCTGTTGACGTCATTGTTCTCGGGAGATTCCCATTTTTTCGCCCTCTTTCAGCTCAGTACTAAATCAAGCCCTCGGGAAATTTCGCAAACTAGCTTGTCCTCGGGAAGTTCCCGTGATTTGTCTGAGAATGTGCTTCAAAGGCTGCATCTGGTGCGTGCACCGATTCCAAGTGGTTGGCTGATGTGTCGAGTAGTTCCCCATCAACGATTGGTCGTATTTTTGCAGGCCAAATTCACGGTCGATCGCACTGCTCGCAGTCATAGCAGAATTCTGATAAACTCGTTCCAAGTGTTTGCTCATGTTTGTCGCGAAGGCAGACTTGACCAGCTAAATGAAGTTATTCAGATCAAAAACATCGTCATCCATTCATGGATTAGGAATCTCGAAAGCTACAGCTTTTATGTTTGACTAGTTTTTGCCGCATTTCGGGAGTTTTTTTTTCCAAACAACGAAAACAAATTCGAGTTTGCCAGCTATCCTAGAGTATTCTCGATCCCAGTCCTTGATGTACAACACAAAGATTGTATCCCTATTAACTCACTCACGTGCACACATATTGCACTGAACACTCTTATCGTCGATTCGACGGAAGAACGTTCATACGGGATTCTTTGTTGGTCGACCATGTTTTGTACCACGTTTGCGAACTCCATTCGAGCTGGCGCCGTTATCGTCCTCTACCTAGAAAAGTGTAGCCTTCAGGCGCCCTGCCTAGGTTTTTTGTCACACTATTAGTCTTGAACCCAACCCATGGGATGTACGAAGCACCATATCTCGTGTGTCGGTTCTGAGATGTTTAGTTCGTTCCTCATTAGCTCCTCAACAGTTCCTCTATTCACTGTTCTGTATTAGCTCTTCTGTATATTATCTAGCTCTAGATCTTGGGGACAAATGTTCTATGCAATTTTGGTGTCAAAGTGATTCGAAGTGATACCAATAGAGACTTGCTCAGGTATTCAGTCAGAGATCCCTCAAGTGTAGTGAAAGATCGGACTGATAGACTACTTGGAAGAAACAAGACGAAGCCAAAAGTAGGAACGAGATTTTTAAAAGGCCTAGAAAGAAAAGAAGAAACAAGGCGCACAAAGCGCAGAAAGATAAGGCAAGATACCAAGAATCAAAGCGGAATCTTGGACGAACCATTGACCGATATGAAGCAATCGACAAAAATTGTGAAGATGCACATGCTGAAAAAGAAACAGCCAAAGAATAGATCAGTCGATGTCAAACGGATAAGCGTGGAACAGCAAGATGAAGGTGATTCCAACGCATCAGCAAACAAGAATGTTAACAAACTCAAGAGTGTCAATGCGAAGCGGTATGGGAAAGTGTGCAGATGTACCGGATACCCTCGCGCATTTCGGGATTTTCTTGAAATGGTCGACTATGTCAGAGCACATCTCTGCCGAACTAGTCGCACAAGTGGAAAGACACAACAAAATCAAACAGAAAGGAGTGAACACTTGTTGCGGTGTCAGAAATTCGGAAAAAGGTCGCTTGGACATGGATCGCATGGACAAGGATCGCATGGACAAGGATCGCATGCACAAGGATCGCATGGACAAGGATCGCATGCACAAGGATCGCTTGGACAAGGACCGTTTGGACAACGACCACAAGGAAAAACAAGGAAGAAGAAATCAAGATAGATCGTTGTTATTATTGAGTTGTTAAGTGTTAGTAGTTGTAGTTAAGTTCAGTTAGGTTAAGTTAAGTTAAGTTAGGTTAGGTTTTGTTGAGGTTAATAGTTGTTAATAGCTTAATAGTTATTACTTACTTACTTAGATACTTAGATGGCCCGTCCTCACGTGACGTGCGGGCCCCAGTACAGAAGTCGCCAGTTTTCCCTGTCCCTCGCTTCAGACATCCACGATCTTCTTGGCCGTCGTCGGTGGCTGCGTCCACGAGTTCCAGGGGCGAAAGTCGTATCCAGCTGATTTCTCAGCTGGTCCATCCGTTCCACGAACACGTTTGCCCATCTCGTCGGTGGTCTTCCTCGAGGACGTTTGGCTTCGCGAGGAATCCACTCCGATGTTCTTAGTGTCCATCTGTCGTCTGTTCTTTTCATTATGTGACCGGCCCATCGGTGTTTGGCTTTCGCGACGTATTCCGCTGGGTCACGAAGACGGGACATTCTTCTCAAATCCGTACTGCAAAGTCCGACGAGATATTGCTTGTGTCGGCTCATCTACAGAAGACTGCGCTTAAGCGCTCTGTGGGTGGCCCGTAAAACTTTCGACGTGGCTATTTTGTCAGCCCAAGTCCCAGCTGCGTAACAGAGTGCTGCGAGAACAGTTAAGTTTAACAGGTGAACACGAAGCTCCGGTTCCGATAGTTTGTCGGTGGCTTCCTTCAGAGGCCCGAAGGCGGCCCAGGCTGCTCTTCTTTTCCTGTTTAGTTCTTCCCTCAAGTCGTTCTCCATGTTCATCTAACGTCCCAGATACACGTAAGAAGACGTCTCCATTCGGGGTGCCTTCCAACTCCATTTCCGCATCTTCGCAAAGGGCGTTCCTCTAAACTGAGTTTTCTTCCGATTTATTCGCAATCCGTTCTTTTTCTCTACTTCGTTTAGTTCTAATAGCTATTAATAGTTGTTAATAGTTGTTAAGTGTCGGGACGCCACTTACAATTAGGGGGGACGTGTAGCCTCCAGGCGCCCTGCCTAGGTTTTTTTGTCACACTATTAGTTTTGAATCCAACCCATGAGATGTACGAAGCACCATATCTCGTGTGTCGGTTCTGAGATCTCTAGTTCGTTCCTCATTAGCTCCTCAACAGTTCCTCTATTCGCTGTTCTGTATTAGCTCTTCTGTATATTATCTAGCTACTCTTGCTCTCTATATTTGCATATCAGCTTCTTCTTGTGGTTTGTCATATTGTTGATTAACCGTTATATTTTTACCAGTTGTTCTGCTAAGTCGGTGGAACCTGCGGTCTAGACCGTCCTACCGCCGCTAAAGAGATTTTAGTAGGGAGCAAATGCGGTAATTTTTGAGCATTGGGAGTTTTCTTGGGGCAGGAGATAAGTATGCTTAGACATGATAATGAGTCATTACACATGGATAGACAGAATCGTATTTGGTTTTTTTACAGTTTTAAAAAAATATTATACCAACTACGTTTCTGGAGCACCATATGAAATCCGAAAACTCAGTATCAGGGAAAACAGCACTTACTACTCACAATGGAAAGACAGAGACACTACAAGTGATTGACTTTGTTTTTTGACTGAATAAAAAAGACCTTTATTTCGCTATCTGCTTATTCGACGGATCACAAAAACAACTTATTCGAAATTATATTCGAATATCGAATTTTCGAATAAGTCTTCGATTCGTCGAATGAAATATTCGAATAAAGGTCTTTTTCGATTATTCGTTTATTCGAATAATCGAACAATTGCGATTCCAGTACCCGACTTTCCCAGATCGAATAAACCATTCAAACACGAATATTCGAGAATACTCGGTTCTAAATATGATTTGGGGCTGTTACTGGCAAGGACAGAAAAACTGGTAGAGTCTAGTATGTTACATATAATGGTTTTTGAAGACAATGTTTGCTATTTTACAAATTTTTGGTGAAAACTAATGAGAAAAAAGCCATTAACATCGTTCATTGGACTCTCGATATGTAATCCTGATAACATTCACCCTATTTTCCACATAGCACTCTAATATTCTACCGTAATAACATTTAATTCAACTGGCTTGGCTTTGGGAAGGCGGGCCTTCTTGACCTAATTAAGGCTAGCTAGTGATTAGAGAGCACTCGCGCGAGAGAGACGCAGGTGCGTCGTGGGCGCGAGCGGCCTTAATTACGTCATAAAGCCCCGTCTTCCCGAAGCCAGGCCAGTTGGATCAAAGGTTATATCTTCCAGGAAGCTTTCACGGGAAAAATTGGATTACAAAAAATTTCTAATCTAGGTTATAACTATGAGCTGTTTCACTAGTTATGATGCTCTCTTTTTCTTTTCTCAAAACAGAAGGTAGACGATAGGTAGCCGATAGGTACACAGCCAAAGAACAGCAAATCGACAAACATGAGCGTGAAAAGTGACGAAATGCGTTAAGATAAAAAGAGTGGGGTAATTTTGACATTACAAAAAATTCATCAATGTCTTTGAGTGCCAATATAGAAAGAAAAACAGCTTGATCGCAAAAAAATACGACAGATTTGAAAAGCCCATTTTTGGAAAAAAAAATTACCTAAGGAGGGAGAATGCGCATAACTCGTTTATCGTTCCGTTTTAACTGCGTAATTGAGGGAAGCGTTGCTTGAGAAAGTAAGGTGAATCAACTGTTGTTTTTACGAAACCAATCACAATTCAGATTTGCTGTTGTTCCTCTACTGGAAAGTTTCCACTATCCCAACTTACCATATCAGTTTTACATATGCGCGAGTCATCCGCAGGGTTGAGCAAGAAGTCAGGCACAAGCCCTTCTAACCCCCCCCCCCTCCTGTGAAAGCCCCTAAATGATTCCTTCGCTCCAATCCAGGTCCTCAGGGTGTTATTTTTGAAGAAGACCTGCCTTTACTGTAGGTTTCTATTTTTCAAAAATCTGTAGGCTCCATTTTTTGCGATTGCACAACCACACGCAACTTGACGGCAAGTTTCGGATCTGGATAGCCCAATTTTCAATGCTATAATTTTCACAGGGGTGGAGTGTTTGGCTCCAAATTTTCAATATAGCAAGAAAAGGCTTTGCTCTCATTATCTAATATGTAAAAAATTTTCAATTCAAAAAATTGCGATTGAATTGCGCAATTCAAAAATGTGCAAATAGCGGGAAACCGCGTGGCGGTCCCAGCGCGCGGATGCAATTTAGCGCCTTTGATTACCGGTTCACTAGCACTCGTACTAAAAAACGGGCGATTTTTGAATACTGAAGGCATAACACATTGATGACCATGCAGATTTCTACCCAGACAATCGCCGGGGCAGGCGGGCGCCGGAAAAATAGATTGCTGATCTCTCGCACCCCGCTCGCGGATTTTTTGGAAAGCAATCAGGACTTTTCGGAAGACCGCTTGCTCAGTTCTCGATTCCTCAGAGATTCAGCAATATATCTGCAAAAGATAAGAGCGAAAAAAGGCGGTCTCTCAAAAATCCGCTGACTCAGCAAGCGGTCTTCCGAAAAGTCCTGATTGCTTTGCAAAAAATCCACGAGCGGGGTGCGAGAAATCAGCAATCTATTTTTCCGGTGCCCGCCTGCCCCAAGCGATTGTCTGAGTAGTTGTCTGCCATTTGGGACCAAGGCCTTTTACGGACCAGCCCACAGTTCTCAACTATAATTACGCATAATGCCATCTACAGTACACCTACAGTAGATTTGAAAGGCTGACAAAAAGTAGAGGTCATCCCTAGACTTAGTGCGAAAGAGAGCTCGTGAATTGAGTTTATTCCAAAATTGTAGTCATTTTGACAGAATTCAAACCTTGACACACATGGTGTGTCAAGCGGTCCCACGCGGCAGTCATTGCTTGACACACCATGCGTGTCAAGCTGTCGTCAATGTGTTAAATGGGGTCGGGCGCAATTCCTCAAAAGCTCAGGCGGCCTGAACTTTTGAGGGGTTGCGCCTGACCCCATTAACTTTATTTGCGAAGAAGCTTTTCTACCCAAGTTTTATGTTATTCGAGAGCTCAACCCTCGAAGATTCCACAGTAAGTGTTTGAGCTTGATTCGACTCATTTCTGCCTTGTGCTAATCCGAGGAGTTGAAGCACTCAAGTGAAAAACGTGCCGGACGGAATTCTGGCAGCACTTCTTACTTCACTGTTTGAAAGTGATATAAAGCCTGATTTTAGCATAGACTTGTAGAGAATATTACTTTGTTATGAGTAATCAAAAGCTGACTTTTCTCACTTCTGAAATCAAGTTGATCACATTCGAAAATCACGCTTTTTAGGCGTTGAAAAACACTAGAAACTGCAGTAGGTGATGGTTTTTATAGCTCGTAGGGGTAATTTGACCTGCAGATTACGGAAATGATACCCATTTTACACATTAAACTTCCTCGGTCCTTATGATATGTCAAGGTAAGGGATGAGGACTTGAATTTTGGCGGAAACGGTGGAAACAAGCAGTATGCTGTATACGACTGTCGTTTCAGATGATTGCAATATCCCATGGACTAATGCATTTCTTCTTCACCTTCGTAGTATCCCCCATTTGAACAAATTTGATTCTTAATTACTACCCCCCCCCCTCAGTCTTACCCTCAATACGACCCCCCGGTCGGGCGCGCCTGACCCCACGCTCAACCCTGGTCATCCGTGAGTGAACCTGTGAGCAACCTGTGAGCATGCACACTGCGCGCGGCAATATACACCTGGTCCAAAAGATAATAAAACAGGGGGAAATCCTTGCAAGGTAGCTGTCAATTCTTGCAAGTTGAAGTAGCGCGGTGTCGTATACGATAACCATACTAAGTTGCAAATGACTCGACGATATGTCAACTTTTATACGGGCAGATGTTCAATCTTCTGTGAATTAGAAGTACACTGGCAGTGAGTTAGTACATATTCAACTATTTCACACTTTGACTCTTGTCGCAACCAGTCACACATAAAGCTATGCCTTCCAAAAATATATCTGCTTCATTGTTGTTTATATTTTTTCTTGTTAACAATGCCTTTCATACTGTAGAGTTAGAGGCGCTTTGCACTTTTTGCAAAAGCTTCTAGAATAATTTGGAGAAATCAACACCAGCTTTCACTAACTTGTAATCCAAATCGTCTGCTCTTCTACCACCAATACTGGTACTTTGAATTAGAACAGTTGAACAAATAGTTTCGATTGGAAAATATTTGCAATATTTTTGAGAAAAAGTGTAAGGGATATGGTTTATCCAGCCGTGGTATCTCCGAAAATGTTCACTTGCTAATATAAAACGTAAGCAATGGAAGCTGCGACATTTTCCCCATTCTGACTCTTATTTAAAATCCACTATTTTCAGATTATCAATGATTTTGCAATTTCTTGTGGCTGTCACTGTCCTTGGGCAGTGCTTAGGGGAAATCAAGGAAATCGAAGTTGAGGATTGCACAGAGGCAGAGATGGGCCCCCGTAGCGTAAGCTATTGCATATTCACATTAAAAATAGGAATACGTGTCGTTAGTGAAGTTACAAATGAAGAGATGAGTAGCCAATTCAGAAATGCCTTATGTGGCTTTTTTTTAACAAACCTATCGTAGCAAATGTTCAGTATTTCCGCGTGCATTTCCAGCAAGCCACTAGGCCATGGCTAGCTTCATTTTCTTCATCAATGTCGAATCATCTCAATATAGCAATTTCTTCAGAAAATCGACGAAGATTTCAAATTGTCTAAGTGCATCTCCTTCAGCATGGTGATTCCCGACCCTGACTTTCAAAAAAAAAGAAGCCGAAATTTTGAGATGACGTGTTTGGAGTCGTGAAGTATTGCTTCACTTCGTACGAATTACTGTTGGGGCCTTTTACCACATCTTTGCAAAAAACAGATTTTGAGCTCGCTTAGTCCAGAAATATAGCACATCGGCACAAGCAATTATTGATCTTAGCACCTCCTTTTGCATACTCAAATGTCGCTTTATAGATGACACATGACCTAATTTCATGTAGCAGTATGTTTCATAAGCGCCTCATTGTGCAGCAGGACGCAAGCGAGGAGGGAAGGGGGCAGGGTCGAAATCAGCTTGGGTTAAAATCAAGCGAGGAGTTGTTTCTAAAATTACGTTGTTGAACCAATTTGGGATTTTCTCATTGGGTCAAAGCGATTTTTGTGAGTCAAAACAATTTTTGTGAAAGTTGTCATTTGAAAAAGCATGTTTTACTATTTGGGGAAAAAAGTTCTGTGTTCATCCAAGGTGGTCGATTCAAGAGGAAAATTTCTTGGTTAGAAGAAACAAAGCGACATCACTCCCGGTGTGGTCTCGACACAGCCCCTCTCTAAAGCAATTAAACTCAGCGAAAGTGGGACAGTAGAATTTTTTAGCAGTTTTTCTATTCGAATTCTTCTTGCTATAGATCTGACCTTCTTCCTTTCATATGCATTGGCATTCCCCTTGTTGGATTCTCAGAAGTTACGACGGTGCTTCTTCCTTCTCTTTCATGTCTTCAAGCGACATTCTCAGTTCCGTTGAATAGCTGCATGCTTGAAGTCGAGCTGTTTTGAGAAATTTATATCATGCATGATGCCGTCTTGTTTCTTTCTTTTTACATAGTACGGATATTGCAATATGGCAGCTTGGAAAGCACGGGAGTTGCAGGAAAAAATCTTTACTTTAAAACAAGACTCAAAATAGATAGAAGGTTTTAGCTCATAATTTAGTCTATTTTGTTGGGATCCTAATCGATTCGAACTACCCTACCTTCAGCGTAAAAGGTGCAAGGGTTTTTTCTTCAAAATCGACCGCCCAAACATGCCAAAGGAATTGGCGACTAAAGGGCATCTTGCTGCGTATCGCTTGAAGGAATCGAGCAGCATAATAATTGCTTTCCGATACGTAGTGAAGCGGCTGAACAGCTTGCTTAAAAAGAAAAAGGTGCGCTTTGTACGCGGGAAATTAGGATACAAAGAAATTCTCTTGTCTTTGCCATGCCATAATCTTACGATAGGTTTATAATCTCATTTTAATAAAGATTGGCAAAAGCGGTGAATGGAATACGCGTTGTAACGGTCGCAGAAAAGTAATAGGGAAATCAACCAAAGTAGGAAAGAGAGCACGCGCGAATGCAGCTTTAGAGGGCTGAAGCAGCATTTCTGAAATACAGGAATGAGATAGTGCAGGAATTTCATGGCGGAGGTGATTCCCAAGGGAAGCCTTTGTAGTCGATGTGGCTTTTACAAATCAATCCTGCATTGAAGAGTGTTGAACGCCGGTTCCATGTCTGCTTTTCTTTCCAAATCTGCTTTTTTGTGCGCTGGCTGGAGAAGGTCCATGAGCATTTGAAAACCCCAATCTGTTAAGCTTTGAGTGGCATAAAATCTTCGAATAAACCTGCGAAAAAACGCTTGAAGGTGGATAATTCTTTTTATATTAAGTATGTTGACTAAAAGAATGGATACAGCCGCTGATAACCCGCAAAAGCTTTTTTTACGGTTTCACTGATTTTACGCCTTTTGAAGCTCAACATATTTGCACAATCAAACACTCACAATTTTCCGGAAATGGTTCCGCAGAAGAGAAAGCAGATTTGGAATTAGCGATTGATGCTGTGCTGATGTAGGATTCATTGGGAAGGGCCTGTTTGACTGAGGCTTCCCCTGTCAGTCATAGCCAAGGAAGTGGAGCGGGAGGAATTGTACGCCTTACCACCTTATTCGAGGGAGTTATTTAAGAGAGCAAATACTATGAGGAAGATCTGACAAGGAGATCGATCAACGAAAAAGTGTGGGAAAGAAACCGCATGAATTTCCCCCAAGAACAGTGCGAAAGGCATAAAAACCACGACTCGGTTGAAAACAGCAAATCCAGAGCTTTTCATTGAGAAATGACCCAACGCTCCTTTTCGAATAAACATTATACTGCTTCATTATGAATTTTCAAGTTTCAAGTAAGAACTTCTCCAAATTGCTATTTCCTTTCGAAAATGTACTCTCCACGATATCAGCACAGATATGACTTTTGGATCAAGCTATCACATTGTATCATGTGAAAGATACATTTAAAGATTTTACTTTGGGAATACTTACTCTTGAAGCTCAAGCACTGTTGAATAATCAAAAAACCTGGCACCAAAAAATACTTTGGAGCGTACTCTATGAAATGTCTAAAAAGGCGAAAGTTTCCACAACGATATAGCCGCCATATTGATGTTAGAGTTCTTCCTTGCTACAACCATTCAACACGCAACACATTTCAAACAACTTCGATGCTTACAATTAAATGTATTCCACTTATTTTGAACACTTTTATGAGTCTGAGATTTCTGAATCTTATATGTAGGTATGAAAGACTTCAGTTTCTACAAATGGGATACGGGCAACAAGTTTGTGATTTCTTCCTCAATCCACAAATGTCGTGCTAACCAAAACCTCAGCTGCTCAATCTACTTCGTGAGCCATCGCTTTCCATAAAAGTAAAGGTTGTCAAAATGGATCGAACAAACAACGAAAATGAAACACGAAGACTAGACTTTTTGTGACATCTCGAACTTGATCACCATGCAACTCATAGCCGTTCAAGATTTCCCTTTAAGAGAAATGTAGCATGGCTATTCCTAGGTTGAATGGTAGGAGAAAAGGTAACTTTGTCGAAAACTGGTTGACAAAGCTAAGACGAGGTAACGCACTCATTTTATGTTCGATTACGAACGATGCTTGATGAGTATTATCGTAGGAGCCCCGCCTAGCTCCTAGCTCGTAAGCCCAAACCTTACCCATTATCTCTCATATGGCGAGATATTACAAGATCTCATCCGCAGCCTCAGCCCAAGAGTGAGAGAAAAAATTAGTGATCTTAATGATTTTCTCTGACTTAACATGCCTGTGTAGTCACTACTCTAATGTAAAGGAAAAAATATAGTCAAAAAAGGCTTCAAAAAATTGGGTGTTGTACGGTATTCTTAATTCACTTCACCTAGAGATTCTTTGAAGTCGTTTTTAGGATAAAGCGAATTAATGCGGCCAAAAAGAGCTTTCGAGCGTACGAGCGTGATTATCAAACATCATGCAAGATACCAGGGACAAACTCATTGAGCGAACAAATAATGCGATATATTACACTCCCTTAAAAGCATTCGTACATACAAATCAGGTAGTCTCGTGATTTTTTCCAGAATATATCACTTAACTATTTGATAAAGCTGTGAAGATTTTACGAGGTGAGTAAATTCATGAGGAGATTGAACTACGTGGAGTTTGAAGTCAAAACTCCTTAGTTCTAAGTCAGCAAAAAGTTCTCCATCCAAAAAAGACTATGGACATTGCTTTTGCTCGCGCTTATACTCTCCGCATCAAGATCCATGAAAAAATCCTGAATGCAAGGGCACAATTCAGCTCAGCTCGACGCAACGCATCTGCTGATTTTAGCGTGCTGGCATACGGTTGGATTATGGTAGCTAGTAATTTAGACATATTTTCAGATTTACGCATACGGTAAAAAATCCGAAAAGGTTCGTGACGGGCTAACCACCATAAATTTACTGTATGCAGACAGGCACTTCTAAGAAACAGAAGATGCGCCTCGCTAAGAAGCATGTGTCCTTACGTTTAGAATTCATCTATGTGAAGCAGATTAAGCGATGCGGCAGGTCGCCTGACTCATATGACCATCGCGTTTGCACATATGAACGATATTGTATCATACTGCTGTGTCTTAAAGCCATTTTCTTAACGATCGCAAATCATTTGCAAGTTTTGAGCCCATGCCTACAGTGTGCCCTGTCTGGCTTTGTGGTTATTTTAACGAGCTTTGTTGAAGATTTTGTAATTCTTGCTAACCGAAATTGTTATACGTAATATGAAGATGTCCTCTTGGAAATAAATTCAAAAGAGTTTTCGCTATTCTTAAATCACTTAAAAATCGCCTCATACATCAACACACATCGGCACAAAAGACGAACGCTCAATGTTCAAAATATCAGGAAAAAAGGAAATTGGTTGGAATGTTTATTTAGCTTTATTTCACGTGATTTGCACATCGATATAAAAAATGGCCCTTGTCCCTGAAACAATGCCGGATCATTCTTTTGAATACAGTCAGCTACTGAAATCACTGATTGATTTTTTCTTTGTTTGCTGGAAAACCAAGAGGTACGAATTCGTAAATTGTCAATAGACTTCATTGTCATCAAATAATAAATAATAGTTTCTGCTAGCAAGTAATTTAATGGATAGATTTCAAAGCAATGATGTCTTCGGCGAGCTTATCGATTTTTTGCATTTTCAAAATCTATTATGGTATCTGGAGCAAAGCCAGGAGAAATGCAAAAGAAAACTTAAAAGAATATTTGCGAGAGTGTTTTGACGGCGTTAGAAGCTCCGCTGGGAGGGGTGAAGTCCGCGCAGTTGCTGCTCAATGATTTATATTCACACTATGTGCCCAAGCATCACGTTTCTTGGTCATCCCCAGGGTCAAGCAAGGGGTGTGGCACACGATCGCTGGTTACGACCCCCCCCCCCCTGATTGCTGTCTTAATAAGACCCCCCCCCCCTCAGCTATATACCTAAGATAGCCTTACCAGAGCTGAGAAAGAGGTCAGGCACAAGTCTTTCGAAACCCCTCCCCCTCCCATGAAAGCCCTCAAACGACCCCCTCTTCCTCCTTTTAACCTCTGGACCTCAAAGTGTGACATTCTGGAGGACACCATCTTTTTCTAGAGAGTCTTCAGATTTCTGAGAGGTGTACGCCCGATTTTCTGTGACTGCACTTTACAATCACACGTAATTTGACGGCTGATTTTGATCTAAGTGGGCATATTGAAAGGGCCATAATTTTCTTATGGGTGGGGCGTTCCGCTCCAAATTTCCAATGTAGCAAGAAGAAGCTATGTGCTCAATACTCATATCAGCAATGGAGCGCTTTCTGGATTTTGAAGGCAAGTTAATGGGGTGCGGCACACCCCCTTAAAAGCTGCGGCAGCCGCAGCTTTTAAGGGGGGTGTGCCGCACCCCATTAACTATATCAAAAAAACATTTTTAGCGGACAGTATTTATATGAATCGATAGCCTAAACCTTGTAGATTCCATAGGACTGTTTGGAGCCTGATTTGTCTTCTTAGCTCTAAGTAATATTTGGTGAAAGCACAGCGATCAAAAGCGAAAAATGGGAAAAACGAGATTTTGGTTGGCTTCTAATTCCACAGTTTGCAGGTCTTCTGAAGCGGGATTCCTGAGGCGGACAGATAAGGAGTAGTGCTTTGTCTTGAATGCAAAAACGGATAGCTAATTCACTTTTGAAACAAAGTTAACCATGTTGGAATTTGACCATTTCACTTAGGTAGCCTAGTATCTTGAATCTTCAGAATTCGCTCAGACTTTGTCTACAGGGGCTAATTGACATGCTAATTATGGATATGATACGAATCTCATGTCATCACTATTATCAGATTACTCAACTACGACCCCCTCCCCTTTTGACTCCTCAATACAACCCCCCAGGTGTGGCGTGCTGCACCCCACGCTTGATCGTGGTCATCCCTCTATTACCTGCTCTCGCATAACCACCAAACCATGAAGACAATAAAGTTATGTTGCAATAATATCCTATGAACTTTGTAGGGATTATTCAAGATGGCGGATTATGTTTCCAACTTTCAGTACACCGACGAGGCTACTAAATGCGAGAATAAATACGAAGATAATGTATGTCAAGAACTGTATGGAGGCTTGGTGGATATGACAAAGAGCAAACTAACCGAAAGACCTGACAGATGTTTCAAGGTAAGGATGTTATCAAGTACGGCTTTTTTATACTGACAAAGGCAATTTAACGAAACTAGTTTCTATCTCGAGCATCTTCAGAACAAATTATTTCGAATTAATCCTCTTGACCCTTTTTCCAGTACGATCCTTTCAGTTTTGGTAGCAGAAAGGGATGACGCAGCTTGGAGATCAAGCAGACGGAATCCCTGACTGATTAATGCTACATCCCACAAAATGTGATGTTTGCCCATTAAGAATTTTATGCAAGAGCCTCAGCAGACATTGGAGAACCATTCTTTGGAGTTGACTTCAATTGATTTGAAGATGGAGCGAGTTACTTAGTTACCTACTGTTCTTCATCTCTGTAAAATTACGGTAATTACGGTAGAAGTCCCACCACTTTGTATCGAGAACTCTACAAAGACGCTGACTTCACTATTTAACTCTTTCAAATTTGTAAAGCTAAATGACGGAGCATTTCAAATGGTGCATTCACACTTACGAGGAACATTGAAAAACGAGTTGTTACGAAGAACCTGACATAATTTTCGAACTGAGCATTACAGCAAAAAGCTTCATATTACTTCATATTCATTGTCAGCGAACTTACTACTTAGTAGCTCAAAACCCTATTCACTTCCTACCGTAATCTCAATGAAAAGCGATGGGTAAACTGCCTTGTGTTCAAAATGAGTTGGATCCAAGTTCGTAGAATATTCCCAAATAAAGACGTAAAAAGATTAACCTGAGCTAGCAACAAGAATCTTTATAAACTAGCCAATCATTCCGAGATGCTATCGAGAAGCATATTGTTTAGTGCATCAACATAATGGAATGATATTTCTAACTGATTCGCCTTTGTTTCGGCTTAAATAGTCATATCAAAGCTACTTGACTTCTTCATGTTCGATTCCCCCGAAACATCAGGCTTAGGTATTCAGAAAATCTCATTTTTCGTGTGCGGGTGTGAAAACGCATATGTTAGCAGATCTGTACATGGTAACCAACAGTTGATATCGACTCATTTGTGTTGAGTACATACAACTCCTACAATAGAGAGAAGATTTTATCGTTCCAGCTTCAAGGCGCAAAGTCTGAGAAGATGATAAAAGCGGCTGTCGATATTTGTCCGAAGACATGCGGTTTTTGCTGCATAGTTCCAAAACCAAGTAAGGCCATTTTCCGTAAAGAGGACGGATAAGTTTATTGAATAACCGTTTTTAGCAACTACCTTGGCTACTACAACAAAGGCGGCAACCAAGGTTCAGCCAACCACCTCAAAAGGTGAGATTTACGAATATCTTGAAAAATCGCGGTCTTCATATCGTAGTAGCTTCTAAAGCTTTTTGAAACGTTATTTAGCGCAATTCATGACTTATTTGATCTCGCAACCATCATGACACTTGCTCTATTCTCATGGAAATCACGTACCGTTCTTCGTTACTATCATCAACTTCATGGTGGAAAAACTCTTATAATAGGCTCTATAACTCTTATAATCGAAGTCAGTTGGATTATAAAGTTTGCTACATAAATTTGAAAAACTTGTGATGCTCCATTTCCAAGTTATTTTAAGTAAACCGTAACCATTATTTTACCAATGTTTGTCGAATATACGATCATACTATTGAAAAACCCAAAAACTCGCAAAAAGCTGTGTATCGAAATCAGCGCGTGGAAACTTTACTACACAATTTTTTCAAATTTTGATGTCCTAATTCACGTGTTTCTGTATACTGTAAGCGTACACTAACGAAGAGCGACTGGTGATTCGCTCCTACCGTTTTTCGATTGTAAGGTGAAGCCAGCCCTATAGAATAGTAACTGAAGATCGGCGAGAGACATCGACATATTAGAGCTTTCAACGCAAATAATATGCACATTTTTTTTACATCTTGTATTATGAGTGGATTGAGCTACCATCGAAGATGCTGCAATTGCACCGGAAACATATGCGCTTTCCCATCAGGATTTTGGATTGTTCTCTCCATGTTTTTTCTAGGAAATCACATTTTTAGGACTCAGGTTGAGTTATAGTGAGTAAAGACTAAGTAGCGACTTTCTCGTTGAATGAAAAAATGGAACGTTAGCTTCCATTACTGGGCATAGTACCCTTTTGCGAGTCTTTGCAGATTCCTGCAGTACTCCCCTATTTTTACGAAAGCTGCATGTGTGGGGCATGTTGTTTGTTGACAGATTCGGTTCATGTTTCAGTACTGTTTCAGTTACTGAATAAAAGCAACTTTTGTCAGGGCTAAGCACATCAAACAAAAAATGGTTGAATACCTAGACGTATGGAAATAGAACACCTCAAGGAACTTGTAAAAGATCGAGGATCTGTTGAAATCAAAGATTTTTTGGAATTACGCAAAAGAGTACTTCAAGGCCAACAGATCCTCAAAGTCCCCCACAATTGCTATATGATGTAACCAACGTATCTTTCAATCCGATAATATGCAGACTTCCTGGACTCCACCTTGAATCCCGCATAACATTTCCTTGCTTGTTTCTCTCAAAAAATATCCAGTTTGCCCATGTGCACTCGTGCCGAGCTTCAGGCAGAAAGCCTGGAAATATAAGTTAGTGCTAATTTATAAAATAAACTGAATGAGCACGCTTAGTCATGTTGAATGAAACTAATGAGGATGAACGCGTAAGTGAGGCTTTCAATCTAAGGCCCGTATGTACGTACATCCCCACGGGGAGGGGATGTGCGTTATACCATTGAAATGATCCCCGTTGGGGATCCCCTCCGCTCCCCGCGCGAACCCCCGTACGCACAAAGACAATATCGGACAAGGGATCCCCTGTGGGGAGGGGAAGTGAACCCCCTTATGCAAAAGAGGGGATCAAGCGGGGAAATCACCTTGCTCTCAAATTTTCTATGAAAAACTCTTTCTTATTTCATATTTTGACTGCAACTCATCCTCATCTCCTCACTTTCAATAATTTAGGGTTGCGGAATGCGCGTATGCAGTTACTGCGCTCGGGGACCAGAAAAGATTTTTTCTACTCCCATTATGTTCCTGCTTTCTTGGATGCTGCCCACTTTCGCTCATGCTGCCCCATTTCAGCGTAAAAATGTTGAACTATAGAAGTTGATGTGTCTCTGCAAGGGAGTGGGTAGAAGACGTTATGCTGCCGAAAAGAGGGGGGGGGCGCGGACGCTCAAAGCAGTATTTTAACACATAACAGAAGCTGCAAATTGTGCCAGCTCTCCATAAACGCTGTAGCTATCAGCTGCATATCGTCCTTCATCCCAGGGGAATGATCCCCAGCGATCATCCCTGCTATGCACAAGGGGAACGCTGGGAAGGGGATCACTCCCCCGAGGATCTCTACTCAGAAACACGTGATTCTGCTAATTCTCATTTTATTCAAAGCAGTTTTACGTTAAAATAACAAGATAAAAAAATTTATTATATAATGTGATAATTACAATATGTTGCAAAAGCCTTTATGGATAAAACAACCATGTCAAGTGGAAAATGCGCAACTCTCGTGAATGGTCTCAAACTTCTACAGATATTCGAAACTGGCAGATATATGCCCGAGTTTTTTTACAAGAAGCCAATATAGAAGAAAGAGTTAAAACTGCAAGCTGCAGGTCGCTGAGAGAGGAACCCGGTTTCCGTAGAAAATCTTTCATCAATTTGAACGAAATGCTTTGTAATAATTGATTGAAATTAGAATACTCGCTTCTCTGGCTTGACTTACACCATCGAACCCCTACTCCGTTGTAGGGGATGTCAATCCCCTCCCCCGCGTTGTTGAGTTAAATTCGCGCATACGGGGTTCGAGTGGGGGAGGGGAAGGGATTCCCCTCCCCCATTCGAACCCCGTATGCACTGGGGTTCGCTCGATCAATACCTTTGAAACCATTCACACCATCCCCGCTTAGGTGCAGGGGATGGGTCGTTCCCCTCCCTTCTGTCATGGCGGGGGTCGGCGGAGGGGATCGTTCCCCTGGAGATCCAGCTCCTCTCCCCTTCCCAGCGGAGACGTAAGTGCATATGGGCCTAAGGGCCGCATGCACTAACATCCCCGCGGAGAGGGGATCGCAGCTCAAAAGAAAGCTTTATATTTCGAAACTCCAGATACCTGAATTTCACATTGTGTACCTATTCGTAAGTATTCCTACTACCCTTCACTATGAACATGTTGAAGAAGAGCGAGAAGCTGTACGAACCGCATTTTCCAGCTTTAGTATGATCCCTAATGATCCCCGGCGCTTTTCTTCAAAGTCATTTTTCTTTCTCCGAAGTCAACGAAAAACCTCCAGAGTTGTGCGGATTATCTAAACCGACATTGCTAAGCATGTTGCTGATAAGAACAAACGATGTTTCGAAGTCATGAAATTTTCGGTGATCCACAGGTCGAAATTTGAGGTTTGCCGAAAAATTCGACTTTTCAAAACTCGTTTGTTCTCATCAGCAACATGCTTAGCACTATTGTGTTAGATGTTCAATACAACTTTGGAAGGTTTTCGTTAACTTCGGAGAAAGAAAAATGACTTCAAAGAAAAGGCCGGGGATCATCAGGGATCACACAAAAGCTGGAAAATGCGGTTCGTACAGCTTCTCGCTCCTGTTCAACATGTTCATAGTGAAGGGTAGTAGGAATACTTACGAATAGGTACACATTGTGAAATTCAGATATCTGGAGTTTCGAAATATAAAGCTTTCTTTTAAGCTGCGATCCCCTCCCCAGCGGGGAAGTTAGTGCATGCGGCTCTAACAAGGGAAGGATACCAACATTAGTTGGCAATTGAAGATGGGATGTATATCGCTAGATGCGCCTTTGAACGCTGATTCCAGATCTGCTTTCATTTTTTGCGGAATAACTTTCCGAAAAGAAATTATGAGCGTCTGAATGTCCAGATTTGCCAAGCATTGAGTGACTTAAAATCGGCGAAAAGCTCCAAAACAACACTTATGCGGTTTCCACCGGCTTTGTTCCTTCCTTGCAAACAATATACTCAAGACAAAAATGATTTTCCAATTTCCGGTGTTTTTATACAGCTTTTCGTCAATTTTAGGCCACCTAAACTTTGACATATTTGGACATTTGAACGCCCATAACTTCTTTCGGAAACTTATTCCGCAAAAATGGAAAGCAGATTTGGAATCAGCGTTCGAAGGCGCGTCTACTGATACACATCACACCTTCAATCGCCGACTAATGTTGGTATCCTTCCCTTGTAAGTGTCACGCGATGGGGGGACGGTCAGGAGGTACGATCGGCGCGAATTTTTCGCGAAGCGACGCCGCAACGTACTTCAACCAATACAAAAGCAGCACTCCAGGCGCAATCTTACTTATGGCATTGAGTCATGTATCTGCCTCCAACCCCACCCCCGTGTTTTTGCCGCCGGGAGTCTCTGATATGGGGAGCTCTAGGGGTCCCAAGATCGGGATGCGGCGTGCGCGGCAAAGCGGCCGCCGCGCGCGGCGTACCTCCTGACGCCAGCCCGGTCGATGAGGCTCGGTTCCTCTCGAGCTTTGCTTGAGTCACTTGACGCGTTTGCGAACGTGCACGGGGCATTTTGCCCATGTGTAGGGATGCGGTATTTCCCACGCCTCGAGCATCGGAAAATACCGTATCCGCTGAGGGCGAACGCGGCCAGAGACCTGCGAGGCGGCTCGCGACCGGGACCTGCCGTGACCAGATTGAAGCCCATATATGCACCAAAGCAACGTCAGTTTTTTTAAAGATCCTACCACCACCACCACCACTACTACTACCACCACCACCACCACCACCACCATAGAATGCGGAAGCGATGCAAGGTAAAAACTATGCATTTTGACATAACTCATGGAATTGCTTTCAGATGTTCTAAGTGGATTTCAAATGGATTTTGCACAAATCTTCTTTACGATTTCCTCTATAGAGCCAAATATTGCGGAAAACCATGCAAACTATGTTGAAGACCACATCTACTTGCTTGCATTCTGGCCATATTACGGTTAAAGCAGAATGAATGTTTTTGCATGATACGGGTGTATTGCATTCTACAACTGTGGCTGTCATCCTGTGCAGAAATGTCCCAAGCCTAAGATCCGTCACCAAACGCCTGCATGTTGTAATGAAGTATCTACACTGCATTAAACATTATTGCTTCGTCTAAACAGCCGCTCACATGGCATACAAAAATCTTATTGCCGCTGCTTGCATCCGATCTATGGTCCTTCAGCTTTCTCAACGGTTTCTACATAATTCGCCATTTTCTCATCTTAAATATGGCAAATAACAGGACCTGTAGCAAAATTTCTTTTTATTGCCTTGATTAACATTTTTGCGTAAAAACATTTTGATCCGTCAAATCGCCACAATTTTCTTTGCGTATTAGCAATATCCATGATTAATGCTACAGTTAGTCGTAGTGGTACTACAGATTGCAACAGCTAGGGTATGCGCACACCGCACATCGCCTCGGAGCCCCGCTCTGCGGACATATTCTTCAGAGGCAGTGTCCAGGGAAGATTTTGAGGTTTTGTGCTTACTTGAGCCTTCTCGCTAAATCTGAAAATTCAAACTGGAAAGAAAAAGGGCCTTAACGCAGAAGAGAATTCAGCAGGTAGGCGGAGTTTTCGCTCCAAGATCGATCTTCTCGGTTCATTTCAAGTAAAACGTTGGCGCTTGGCCGATGGCGGGTGTATCCCATTACTTGCGACTGTCAGTTACGTAGTCGCCGCGCGCGGCAGGCTGGCAACAATCAGGTCTGCAGAGAACTCGGGTGGTCGACTCACAAAGCCATACTGATCCTTCTTTGTAATGGTTTCTACAATGCCACATCTATTTTTTTTTGTTTGATGAAAGTTTGGCTACAAAAAATGTAGAAAAAGGAAGATAAAGGCAAACATGGAATTTACTATGTTTCTGATCAGGAAATGTAAACTTTTTGCTCACTGGAATAACTTGACCCCTGAACATTTCCACTGGGACGTTCCCACTGACCATGCTGCCTCTGGTCGAGGTTACTGTTGCCGCGTCGCGACATTTTCTTATTGACACTCACAAGTAATGGGCGCCACCCGCCGATGGCGATGTAAAGGCGGCTAGCGGAAGCGAGAAGATCGCTCCTGAAGCTGGAAGCGTAACTTCACAGAGTAGAATTCCCTGCCCACGTACTGGTTCCCTTCCTGCGTTTGATCCAGTTTTCGCCGTTTTCGCGCTCTTCAGTGTGGATTTTCGGATACAGCATAGCGATTAAGCCCACCTTAAGCCCAGATCTCAAAATTAGCCTTTTGCTCGGACAATACCGCTAGGCATCTTCTGCCGACCAGCCTTGTTCGCTCTGGCGTGGAAAAATACCCAGACGGTACGCCCAGACGCAGCGCAAGCTCCAAGGCCCCTGCTCAAACCCATTGAGACAGCCTGCATGCACAACAATGCTCCCAAAACATTAACACCTTCTTATTTTCATGGTCGAACAAGGAGCTCATGAATCCCCAAAAATGCAATTGATTGCAGATTTTAAAAGTGGAAAAAGGTCGAGCTCTTTTCTTAATGTCGTGAAGAAATAGTGCGTCTCTCACAATTTTTTCCTTACTGTTGGAACAGGGAAATACCACAAATATTGACTTAGATGTAGAAAGGATCGTTGTTGCATAAAAAACTCATCGTGTCACACAACTTTTCGAAACAAGTATGTGTTCTTGAACGGATGAATGACAGTCAGCAACCAAATTGTCAAATTATGCATTGCACTCTCGGTGAGGGCCTACGAGATATAAATTCCGCCTTCTATCACACCTTTTGGTAGTGACTGCACGCACTTCTTTTAGATTTCTTTCATTTTAAGCTTCATTTTCATTCAATACGCTCAAGGCGCTCCGTTTTGAAAAAGCATTGAAAGCTCTCAGTTCTACACTACATTAGGCTGCCTTCAAATCCGATCTCTGTATCAAATCTTTAGGCGCAGGACTCGAAAATCAAAAAAATTCTCAAGAAACTTATTGTTAGATATTCTTGTGCATTTACGGTTATTTCTTGCATCTCAAAAAATTCATGCAGAAGTCAAAGCGGTCCTCAATTTTGAGTCACTGGATTCATAAGCTACTCTCGAAATGGCATAGTTGGCATCTATCTCTCAAAGTAACTTTGAACGCTGATGTTTGTTTTCCGTTTTTCTTTCTCTAATGTACAGAGCCCCCTGTCAGATAGAATCTGAAATATCCTTTAGTCAAATTGTCGTGAAGATTGACAACTTCATTTCTTGCCATAATTAGTGATGTTAGAAAACTGCACACTAGATGATTGTGCATACAAAAGATACAATTCAAAGCTTTTTATAGGTATGCTATAGGTGGCAAAGTCTGAAAATTATACTCTGACCAATAGTAATCCGCAAAATGTCGCTTCGATAACGACATTTGCGCAATATCTTCATTTTTTTAATTTCCAAATGGCGAAGCTTTGTTGAGTCAAACAGACGTATTTATCAGCGCCTTTGAGCGAGCTAAGGAAATTATTCCGAGCTTGCACCTTGATCAAAGGAAGTTATGAAAAGCGAAGGGCTATTCAGGAAAAAGCTGCAGAAAAACTGCGGAGCTTATTCGCATTTATTACACATTTGGTCCTTCCAGATATTTGCATCAACTTTATACTCGAACGATAATCTGATATGGCTGCAAGATCAAAACGAAAGAAATCAACGAAATGGTGTGAGGTAACAACGCGATGAGGTGAGACTTGATCAGTGCTGTGAGGTAGATAAATATGAGGTCGCAAATACTTCACTGTGGCTGATTTAGTAATGCCAAGACTAGTCTAGAGCATGTATGCGTGAAACCGTACAATCAAACAAAGGAGTTTCCGAAGTATGGAGGTTTGGTAGGAGGTAGGATGTAGGAGGTGTGATAAAAAAAAGTGAGTAAATCAGCGGGGATATGCAATTCAACATCAACTAGGTAAGCTCGGCATGTCGACGCGCCCCTCGAGCCATCTGTTGTAGATGTCCTGGTAGTGCTCGGAGTGGTGCCTGTTCAGGTGACCCATGAAGTTACTGGAACACGGTGACCGAACAACCACATTGCACAGCACACACTGAGCGTTCCCATCAACAGTTCGGCGGAACAGTTCCCACACCTAAATAAAGAGTGAACTTTGCAGCCATCACGTCCTAAATCTCAAGATGCTCAGCACAACCTTGCGAAGTTTTTCAATTGATTCAGGTGAGGCAATCCGTGGCTGCGTTCATCAAATGATACCAGAGGGGGGGGGGTAGTGAAAAGGTTGAATGCGGCCAATACTGGGGAAGCTAACGGGTTAGGAACCCAGCAGACCTTTTTGTGACTATGGATCCCAAGCGGGGGTTCGCGAACTTGTAAAACCGCCACCACTGGGTTTGTTGCACGGTCACTAATCTTGTCATGACAATCGAACATGCCTACAGGGTGCTCCACATGAATTGTGACGCGAGAAAGAATTCATAACTTTGCAAGGACTGAATAAAACCAAAAACTTTAGTAGTCATTGATAGAGAAAAATCTGTGTAAGACTATCAAGATTGGCCTTAGAAATTCGACTCTGGCCTTGGTAAACGCATTTATTCTCTTCCAATCCCTCCAAAAATTCTTCAATTTGCGCGCATTAGTTTTTGGTGCCCAACTCTCAGCAAACCTCCTTTCAAAATATCAAACGAGATGAGTTCTAAGGAGCAGACTTTCTTCTTTCGGGTAGACACAAAAGAGTGTTCGTGGGATTAAGTATGGGCGAGTTAGAAGACCAAACATCATTTTTTTCCATGTCCGAAAGATGGATTACACAACTGCAGTCTCTTTTTTCGGCGTAGATTGTTGCCTAGCCATGCCAGAAGATTCCAAACAGCGTACACAGTGTTTGCTTCAACCCACTACAGCTCTTCAGAGTTTGCTTTCGATGTTTTTTTTCAAATTCTCGAAAAAATACGATTTTCGAGTTATAGCGACTGTGGTGTGTAAAACTCTGAGCTAGATTAATTTCAAGTAAGTTCGCTGTCAGAGATGGCCACAATGGGATAAAATGTGGAAAAGACGACTATTATTAGAACTTTGCATGAAACAGAGCAAAAGATGGATTTTTGGCAGACCGTCAAACTTTATGTGAGCCATATTTAAAGAAACAATGTTTCGCTCTCCAACTCGCCCATTCTTGATCCCACGGATTCTCTTTCTGGTTTATCTGCGAGCAGAAAGCCCGCTCTTCTAAATCTAGTCCGCATTAGTATAAAAAAGTTTTTTCTCTCAGTAAAAAGATCCATTACAGTGGGCTTTCAAAGCCATATACTCCTTTCCTGGGAGCTAGCGGTAAGTGACGAGAGAACCGAATTGGGTTTGCAACCCCCACTCGCTTTGGACGACCCTACAATGGCTTCTGCTCCATACTATTGCAAAGATTGATGAAGATAAGGTACTAACTCCTGTAAATCCTTTCTCAATATTAAGACTTCGCTCCATCTTACAGGGCGCGTATTATTAAACTGGATTCATTCTAAAGCTACTAACAGAACGAACTGGCCAGCTAGACTTAGAAAAAGTTACAAAGCGTACTTCAGCATGGTTTCCAAAATCTAATTATGGATGACCTTGCGAATAAGGCATTGTTCAACGCAAGCATAAATTTGAACTGGCCTAGTTGACAGCAAAAGCAGTTTTGCGAATCTCTGCACAAAGTACTAAGGGGCCGGGCATACTTCACGCGATTTCAGTTGCGACGCGATTTGGCAATATTCCAACTGTCCGTAACTCATTGTAAACACAATTTGAATGTACAGAAGATAGCGTATTTTATCAACCCACTCAAGTCTTACACACCATGCATGTGCAGTTTGCTAATGTTGCATCTGAAGAGTTCTGGCGAATTGCCAAATCGCGTCGCGACTGAAATCGCGTGAAGTATGCCCGGCCCTTAATGAATCATTCATTGGAAACATGTGTAGCTGCATTCGGCTGCATCCATTATTTTCAGGTTGCTCGACGCGATTTCTACCTTAGAGTGTAAGAACAGAACAGAGGCTTCCATAACAAAACGGATTATTCAAAATCATTACGGAGAAGGGTTTAAAGAGAGCTGTGTGCACAAATAACCTCAAGAAAGGAACCGCTTTTGAAAGTCTCCATAAGACTCGTTTGAGCTTACTCCAGCCTTTCAAGTGCACTACGAATTCTTATTAGCATGAAACTACGGAAAAAATCATTGCCGGTTGTTCTTTGAATTGATTTTGTATTTTCAAGGATATACTACTTTGCCTTACTATTATGCAACACCTGAGTTACGGAAAGGGTGCCGTAAAGCGGCAGCCTTGATTTTCAAGCCATGCGGAGCCGATAAGATCGCAGAGTTTCTGGAACGACCTTGAAACCGAGTATGGTCTTTTGTCTTCTTGAAGGCAAAAGAAATTTTGAAGCGAGTTTTTTCCAAACTTGGCCACGGAGTGCCTTTATTCAATGAAGAGACTCACTGGATGTTTTGTACGCCGATTCCGTTTTGCGCCTCGTCTGTCGGGATTCCACGGGACATTTGGCATTGTTCTTTGCGCTTCGGCAACTCCCTGATAGTGATCGTAGGCAGTCACTACCCTATAAGATTTCTTCTTAGTTTGTTTATACTCAATTCCCATATCAAGCCTGTGACGGTGAAGCCACCTTACACAGAGAAAACCATTACGAAACGTGCTTCAAAGGCTGCATCTGGTGCGTATACGGATTCCAAGTGGATGGCTGGTGTGTCGAGTAGTTCCCCACCAACGACTGGTCGTATTTTTGAAGGCCAAATTCACGGTCGATCGTATTGCTTGCAGTCATAGCAGAGTTCTGATGATGTCGTTCCAAGTGTTTGCTCATGTTTGTCGCGCAGGCAGACTTGACCAGCTAAAGGAGGTTATTCAGATAGAAAACATCGTCATCCATTCATGGATTAGGAATCTCGAAAACTACAGCTTCTATGTTTGGCTAGTTTTGCCAGATTTTGGGAGTTTTTTTCTGAACGAAAACAAATTCGAGTTTATCGGCTATTGTAGAGTATTCTCGACCCCAATCCTTGATGTACGACACAAAGATTGTATCCCCATTAACTCACACACGTACCCGTGCACACATATTGCACTGAACACTCTTGTCGTCTATTCGACGGAAGAACGTCCAGACGGGATTCTTTGTTGGTCTTCCACGTTTTGTACCACGTTTGCGAACTCCATTCGAGCTGGCGCCGTTATCGTCCTCTACCTAGAAAAGGGGTTGCAGTAAGGAACAAATGCGGTAATTTTTGAGCATTAGCAGTTTTCCCAGGGCAGGAGATAGCAGATGCTTAGATATGATAAGGAGACATTACACATGCGTAGACAGAATCTCATTTGATTTTATCACATTATGAAAAAGATTATATTCACTACGTTTCTGTAGCACTCATTCGCATAAAAAATAACTACTTGATTCGAACTTCTACCTCACCCATCGGAAACAGTCATGAATCGCGATTTGGGCATATCACTGGCAAGGACAGAAAGACTGGTAGAATTTAGTGTGTGCCACACATAGTTTCAGTAGAGAAGCTGATGTGATTATTTGCTATTTTACAAAGTTTGGTGGAAACTTGAGAAAACAGCCATGAACATCATTCTTGCGACTTCCGATACGTAATCCTAGCAGCACCCACCCTGTTTTATTGTTTCATTTGAAACTGCTTTTCACATAGCATTCTGGTCTTCCAGCAAAAGGGCATACTTATTGAGTCTAACCTTGTTTCTAAGGTGCATGCGTGACAATTTGCTTATAATAAACGCTGAGTTAAACGCCACTATACAGGGTGTCCCAAAAATATGCATACTGTCTGATCGTTAATAACTCGTTTGCTTCGATGTCTTTTGCCGATCTTTAAGTACCATTTCGTAGAGCTATCAACTTAGAATTACAGTATGAAGCTAAATTCCGCCGCTACTATAGGACTACGGTGGGAAGTTTGAAGAGAGTTTGAGCCATAAGAGTCGCATTTCGCCCCGGAAAGGAAACCAAAAGAGTCAAAAACTTTGAAACTAGGCTAATTAGAGTCAGTGACGCAGATATGCAATTTGCACACCACGGTCATGCTTCCTTCATAAGGTATTACAGGAAAATAATAACTGCTCTTTCAATGTTTTTCAAAGATGTGATTACAGTACTGAAAAGGTTCCGAATTTTTATAAAAAGTTGCATAATGACTTTAGCATGCTTGAAAACCCACTTACACAAATTTCCAGAATGTATCGGAATTTTTTTTTATAAACAGTCTAACTCCCAGTGGCGCTGTGTGCTGAAAGTTCCTTTATCCTACTGTAGCAAAAGAGTCTGGAGTTTCGCTCAATACCGTAATTCTAAGTTGAACCTCGCTCTACACAATGGTACTTAAAGATCGACGAGCGAGTTATTAACGATCAAACAGCGTGCACATTTTTTTGGGACACCCTGTATAATCCTCCAATCGGAAGCCTTATTCGGGGTTAAATAGTCAAGTAGCCACAAACATTTATTTATTTATTTATTTATTTTGCATGGTTTGAGACGATATGCTTAGGAAAAAAGTGAAAGAATGCTCTCTTTTTCTCATATAATTATCATTGAATGCTTGAGCTTTCGTGGCGCTAACTATGCTTTGTTATGACCACATAAAAACTCTCTTATTGTCGGTACCTCTGTTGGTGGTTTATTCTGCTGTGCTGACTGTGGTCGTTCCTGCTGCGAAATCAGCGATGGTCCCGCTGCTGCTGCTGCTGCGTAATAAAACATCGACGGTTGCAAGGAAAGCGGTTGATCGTAGTGTTCGTTATTCTAAAAATTCTCTAATCTCAACGACACAAGGGAAGATGAACAACAGATCTGCCACTGAACAAAAATGCTTGTACACACCACTGCATGTTTGTTTTTTCTCAAACCCAATGAGCCAAAATCGGCATCTATCCTAGTAATTTTTACAATGCTTTTTACATCCTTCGAATGTGTACAATATACGAAACGTTCACAGCCCCATCGCGATCGATGTGCCGTTTAGACCAATCAATTTTCAGTTGACAGTTGGATCGAAAAGTAAGCAGTTTGACGCTCTTGCAATGAGTTTGCGTTGTTACTCTTTGCGAACCTTACGGTAGTCGACGCAACCCAAATGAAATCGATCGTCGGCGACAATGAAATGGTGTAGGAAGGTCAGCATAGGTACGGTAGTCTAGATTACTGTAACTTGCTAAACTGCATGTACCAAGTTCGCATCACGCATCTCTTAGCACAGAAATCTAATACATTATGAAGGTTCTGAAGCATTGCGCAAAAGTTCCAGTGTACTAGTAAAGAATTACAACGAGCCCATAACTCGAGTAGAAAAAAGGGTCAAGGCGTATTATCCGTGACAAAATCGTCGAAAAAATATAGCTTTACCCAAAATCATTGGTACAAAATTCCATGCTCATCTTTGGAAAGCTCTTGGTACAAGGAAATTGGATCTTTGCGAAAATTCTGATTTTGGTAGTGTTGATATTCTCGATCAAGAATCAACGGAGTGTCTTTCGCGCTTCTGTCGAAATACCCCTTACAGACTCACGCACCACTCTTAGAATTTTATACGTGTTTATATGTCAGTTTGTTACATTTTCGTACAATAAATACTAGAAAACTGGCAGTCATTGATTAACGAAAGATACTATCAAGTTTGATCTAACAGGTCTATTTCATGTATGTTTACAAAGGAATCTGAATTACTGATACAGTTCGAAATGTGCCCAATCACCAAAGATAAAGATTTTCTTGCAAACTTTTCATATTGCTATGAATTTTTTTGCAAATATTAGCGTGCATTCCAAATCCTAGTGACAGAAAATTATATAGTGCAACCAACCGTCAATTGTGTTCCAGCTTGAATGGGCAGGGGCTGAGGTACGATCGGATACAGATGTCCATGTTGAGGTTGTTGGAAGCAGGATGGGGTAGGGAGGACAGAGACGCTTTGCTCGAAATAGTCTTTGTCCTCGTAGGCATAAGAAGTAGGTAAATATGCTGTGTCCATTGTAGGGCTAGGATAGGGGTGGAGGTCTTTCCAAGAGATTCAGTATCTCCTAAGGAGGAGACGCCAGATTTGGGTTGATTATGTGCGTAAGCCAGGAAAAAGACGAGGTGTTCGGCTCCGGGTTCGTTCGTCGACGATGTCTCGGTTTGTTCCGTTCACTCACTATACGTATAGGAAGCGATCCGGTGTGTCAAGTCCGTGGAGGCGCGCGATCATGATCGGCCAAGCCGCGGATAGTGCGAGCGACGAACTCCTCAAACGTCTTTGCAGCCGACGATGCTTCTGTACCGTGGACACTCAAGGGACCAGTTTTCGGAGCTGCAATAGTACATCAAATCTGACAACAATAGATTTGCAGAGATAGGATATTGATTAACAAAAAATTCAAAATAAGTTTCATGCGTCATAAAGGTTTAAAGACTTTTACCGTAGCCAAAAGTCAAGTGTGCGGGAAAAGCTGGAAGAAGTAAACAATTCATTTTCTCAATTTATTCACAAAGTCGAAAAAAGCGTACATTTGTATGTTAGCCGCCTGTCCAAATTTACAGAGGCTGTAATTCTGTTCTCGAGTTTTGAGATAGATACACGGTAATGTCAGATTTTTCAGAGAAAGCAGGAAGCTCTATGTATTAGTTGGCATACGATTTTTGGACTTCCAAATGATTATGACAAATACGAGATCTGACCCACTAACAGAAACAAGCCATGGTGTGTTCAGTTGAAACAGTTTCTAGGACCGGATCACCAAGATAAACCTCTACATTCGCTTTCTAAAAAACTTTTCAAAGTGAAGCCGACTTTTATTGAAAATTTCAAGATCGAGCTGAAAGCTGGTATTACTAATCTATTAAGGTTGAGACTATAGTACAGTAGTAATATCGTACGAGAAGGACAGTTCCTTGCGCTGCATTAAACATCACTTAAATAGACTAACCTTGTAAGATGTTGCCGGTACCGTTCACGTGCGTGCGTTTCTGCGAACGCGCGGTTGTTACAAATAGGGGCGTACCGTCTTGAGTCGGTGCGCAACGTTCTATTACTTTCATAGTTTATATAGGAACTTCATATGGTGAGAAGATGACTGTAACGTAGCGCACTAAGTGGCGAAACGTACCTTCAAAAAGCCATTTAGTTCTTCAAGTCGTACCTCTAGAAATGAATCACCAGTCTCGTCTTGGACGACAAGGATTTTTATTTTCCTGCCTCGTCTAATCGTTTATAAAAAAAGTGCTCCCCTTGTACTAGTTTATGTATTTTTGATTACGGAAAGCTTGACCCCCACAAGGATCACATAGCAAACTATGCTAATATGCTAAGTATCAATTCGCTAAGAGAGCATGATGACATTGCGAAATACAGTAGGTGGAACAAAATCACGAGTTTCCGTCTTGGTGGCCAAATTTACGTCTAACCATTTGAAGGGAAACTTTTTTCTTCTTTTCGTAGCATGGAATTCCGACCATTATGATTGGACGTTGTTCATAGCATGGAGATGCAAAGCCTGCCTTCCATCGCAGACGAATCGCTTGTTTGTAGCTTTCCATTACATTACACGAATAGAGGAAATGAAATCTCAATGATAATTAAACAGCTGCATCTCTCGACAAAGAGGGGGCATGGAGTCACATAACGCCAGTTTGTGAAACTTTTTATTATTTATTCATCCGTCTTATAACAATAGAGATCTGCATCACACAAAGAAGCAATTTGCATTCATCATCATTCAAACATCAAGACCAAGTACAACATCAATCTACAAAATTGCTGAAGTAATAAGCATGCTTCTACAGCAATGAAGATTGAACATGCCACAATCATAGCAAAAACATCTCACAAGTTATTGTGCTGCTTTTAATTATCCTAATCTATTACCTTGATTGAGGGATATTATATCTGTATCTTTTAGGAATCTTGACCATTTTTTCACCATTTTTTTTATTACTGTAGTTTGCTCTGACAGTAAAAGTAGCACGGAAATGCAGTGCTAGCTCATTTTGTTTCTGAAAGTCTAGATTTGGAATGTCAGATCTTTTAGCATGAAAAAAAAAAGAGAAACAGTCCATAGACAATTTTTGCAAAGCGAAAAACAACTTTCCGCGTTTTTCTCTCTAGATCGGGAACACCACCCGCAAATCACACCTTCGACCACGGCATTCTTTCTAATTATCTTGCCGCGAAAATGTGCGGATACGCTAGAAATCAACGCGTTCGCCGCCGTAAAATGTCTCCAAATTGCCACTCTGAACGCTTACAAGCGTTTACACCTAGCAGCAAGCAACTAAGGAATTTAGCGTAACCGCGCAGCTTTTCTGACTCGCGGACGTTTTCGCGAACTGCGGTGAGGACAGGATCGAAGTACGAAACACAATAACGCACTGTATATCCATTTCGAATTTTTCTGTGCCTTCGTAAAAAATATCTTTGTGATATTGCCGTTCAACCATCCTCAGACAAGTCACGAGATTCCCGAAGACAAACGAATTTGCCAGATTTCCGAGAGTTTCACGAATAAGGGAAGGATCTAATTTAGATTGGCCTTCCGAATAGAAATATGGCTGGAATTAGCTCTAGACGCTGACAATATGCTGTTCCCAGCTGCGGCGCACCATTCCGAAGCGAGTTGATTTTTTTCTCTGCAAAATTTGCATGCTCCTTGAGCTACTCACCACGGTTTCATCATCTAAGTTCTAATTTATCACGCTAAAATTCTTGTCAATGACAAAAGACTCAATCTAATATGTCAAAAATCGAACGGGAAAAGGCGAGGTTTTTGGAGCGAAAAATAAACATAAAATTTAGGTAAAATTAATGATTATGATCTTTTCAGCGCTCAAATAATGAACTAATACTAATAACTGTCTCAGTAAAGCATGATACAAACTGTACGTGCCAGACAAAAGGCTGGATTGGATCGACTTGAAATTTTACAGCATTTGATATATCTGAACAAAGGAAAAGGAAGTGCGTTTTAGACCTCCAAGAACAAATGTTTATTTGGAAGGCAAGATTTCCTATGTAAGGAGAACGACCACTTAAGTTACTAACGGATGGGAATCACATAAATTGAGTTGAGAGTTGCTGTCACATAAAAATAGAGGTTTCACGGACTATCATCTGAGAAAAGCAAAAATACAGAGCAAGTTACTGATTGGCTTTTGTGATTGTAGGGTTATGATCAGACCTTCGGGTTTCCTGCAACATGTGAATTAGCAAAGTTCCAAGTATCGAAAGAATTTAAAAAGAGTGGAGCATGGTATTCAAGGCGCTAACTCCACATCCTCACTTTTTACAAATCTGTGAAGGTTTTAAACCGTGTAAACAGTTTCTAAAGCACGTTGAGGAAGCAATAATCGCGTATGCCTAGCATTACGAAACTAGAAGCAAGATTTTGTGGTAAAGTGTGAATTTCATATTCAGAATCAGGGACTAAATTTTAGTACAAGAGTTCTCAGGTTATACGGCTCTCGATGGCTCAAAACCCTATTCAGATTTTTTACCGTAATCCCACAGTAAGATTGAGCAATCGCTGATCTGTTCTGCACTGTAAATGAGTTGTCCAGCTCTACAAAAGGTGTCCATCCGCTGAAAGCCTCAATTAAGAGACTTATTCACAATTAGACAGTGTGTACATTTGCAGAATCGCGACGGCGAATCTGACTGCAGTCTATACCCCACAGGAGCATAAAACACTCACACAAATGGTATAATCTTAACACTTAGCTCAGCCACCTCCAGTGTTGATATACGTACTAATATATTAGGTTGGTGCAAAAGTTCTTTCCGCCCAAATTCAAAAATTCATAACTAGTTCAATTCTCAACGAATTTGCAAGTGCAATCTAAATTTTGTATAAGAGGGAAACTCATGCTCTTTGCAGTAGTACCTGAACTTTTCGTTAAAGTTAACAACATAAGGAGATAGAAGCTCAAAACCAAAATCACTCAAAATTTGAATTTTTCGTGTAGGGTCATAAAAAATCGGAAATCTGCAACAAAAATCGAAGCAGTCAGGATTGTAGGTTTTTCACCAGCTCTTTCTAACGATGCAAAGTTTGCGCTGATTCAGCGTCTCTATAGAAAGTTATGATTTCCCTGAAAAATGCCAAAATAAATCAAATTCGCCCTTTTGTATTGCTTGCTCGAAATTCATAACTTTTCATAGAAGCGCTCAATCGGCGCAAACTTTGCACAGCTAGAAAGAGCTGATGAAAGAACCTACAATTCTGACTGCTCCGATTTTTGTGGTAAGTTTCCGATTTTTTATGACTCTACACGAAAAATTCAAATTTTGAGTGAATTTGGTTTTGAGCTTCTATCTCCTTTATTTGTGAACATAAACGAACAATTCGGGGATATAATTGCAAAGAGCATGAGTTTCTCTCTTAAGCGAAATTTAGATCCTGCAGATTCGTTGAGAATTTAACTAGTTATGAATTTTTGAATTTGGGCGGAAAGAACTTTTGCACCAACCTAATATATGATTGATATATGTACTACGCTACGTAATAATAACCATTCGAGTATGAAAATTAAAAAAAGGCGGTTGTGCCGTCGTCACAATTTTTCGGATGTCTTATACATACCTTGAAGCCCCCTGTAATTCCTTTGATATACATATTTTATATCCGACTTTTTGCTGTTTGTTGAAATGTTATGCATCATTCTGCAGTAGTTTGCACATTATTCTGGAAATTTGGTGTCAAGTCAAGAGCAGGGGGATTAATTAAGAGAATAAGTTGGATAGAGATTTGGAGTTTATCTCTAAGCTAACCTTTTACGATAATAAAAACGCCGAATACAATTTTACTTCTCTTATCTTCGCTGATCGGTAAAAATTATGAGCTGTCTAGCAGATAGAAGGAAGATTGAGCATTGGAAGCATTGATTTAAGTCCATCGGTTGAAGTTCCCGTTTGATGAAAGACACCCCGTCAATATACAATACCGCTAAAATTTTTTGAAAAATAGACGCGAATGTATGGATATACATACATACATCAGCGTCGCGTGGCCATATCTCGCTTCAGAATAAACGAATTCTGAATCCAAAGCCATCATTTGATTCAGCTCGGCGCGGAGAATCTTCTGATGTAATGGAAGTGGGGGTACGATGTCTTCGATATTCCGTTTCCAGTTTTTCAATTTGTTCTGCGGAGGTCCTTTCGCGAATATGTGAAGCAACGCCTACCCAAAATAGAAGAAATTCTGAGTACCATACTATTATTACTATTCGGTACTATTCGATAATGCTGTTCTTGTAGATTATCCGCTAAAAATTGGCTCAGACTTCTTTCCAAAGGAGATAGAAGCGTTGGTGAATTTCGGAAAAATCACGCGTTTTTAAATTCTACTCGCCATAACTTCCTTCGGAATAAGTATAGTTTGAATCCGAAAGCAGCGCCCTGCTCAGCTCATCAAGGCGAATTTTCCTATATACAGCATGTCCTTGATAGTTCGATTTCAGTATTCTTGAATCTTTTTGAGGATGTCTTTTCGCGAAGGTGTAAAGCAACGAGCATTGTCCCGAGTACATTCCAGCAAGGATCTTTCGATAGCAGTTTTTCTGTAGATTATGATGCGCCAAATAGTAGCCGCAGTTTCCTTTTCAAAGGAAATAGAACGGCTGGTGAATTGTGGAAAAATCTTGTTGTCCCAAATTCTACTCGCCATAGCCGCAGGATACGAAGCTATCTTGCTAAGCAGATGTGAGTTTCAAAATCAGCAGGTCGGATAACCTCTGTGAGCAAGTTTTCCGATATGTGCGGCTTATTCCATTTTTTCTCGTTTTACGCTCCAGAAGCTCGCCGATGGATTTTGGTCAAAATGTTGATGCTCTTGAATTGTAAGGAAACTTCGCTCAAGAGGTTTTCAAACACGCTCTTTACGAAAATCGTGGTCTTTGAGGATTACAGGGTCTTTTTGGAGAGATACTTTGAGGTGACTGTAACTGCATCACAAAAGTGCGTAACTTTGGCCGCACTTCTCGCGTATCTGTCAGCAACCTTGCCAGCTTGCTTTTCTCAGTCAAAATTACTAGAAACTGTGCTATCGAATGGTGCATTATTCAGGCTCCAGTCTGTGAATTCGCCGAGTTACGAGCCTACGAAAACACGTCCTCATGAATTTTGCCCAAAATGTAAAGATCGCATATCTCGTCGAAATTCCTCCGTGAGCGCTTGTATGACGCTCGTTGCAGATATTATGTTCGCTTCGTCGAACGGCTCCCACTGTACTGAATATGGTGCTTGCGTCTGCTTCAGTTGCTCAACTGAATATCAAAGCTATTTCGTGACTAGAGCTCAAAGCACCAAATCTAACACAATAAGATTCATTAAAAGATTCCAGATTCTTTACAATCTCAGAGCACGAATGTTTTTAAACGCAGAATCAACACATTTGATCTCTTACGTTTGAGGCATTTTGAGAATGAGTATTGAATAGCACAAATTTGTCATCTGTATTGCTAAGCTGGCCATGTGCGATTACATTATCCGTCCACAAAATGCATACCAAATACAACCATGTGTTTGTGTTTTTTTCAAGTATTATTTTCTTTCAAATGTCTTACTAACCCATATCTTGCTGTTACGTTAGTTCAGGTTTAATCAATTTACTTCTCCTCCCAATCATTACAGCTTGTTGACTTTAAATGAATTACAAAAAGTGAAACTATTTGATATTCTTTTGGAGTCATTGGACTCTCCCCGGAAGGCAAGGTTGATTGGTATTACTGCACCAACCGAGCCCCGCTTTGCTTCATAATTGCAAGAGCATCTTCTGCTGGCAAATGAGTTGGCATGATTGCCATCTCCATAGATTACAATACCTAACTTGATCACGCTCACGTATGAGTTATCCATCATTACAACCCTTATTGAAATTCACTTGGAGTCACTGGCTCACACTGGTTTCCTGGTTTGGTGGGGTCAGATAATATACCCACCATCAAACCTTGTTTGTTTGTTAAAATCAAAATATTTTGCTGGCCAAAGGAGGCATGGGTACATCTCCATGAATCACATCATATAATTCCGATAATTATAATCATAGAGCAGTCAAATACAAGCTTTCCTCACATTTTCATCAAAATTAGACCTAAACTAATCATGCACTATGCGGTTAGAGTATAAATGACTGCTTTCTATTCTATTGTATGGAACGCCAAAAGCGTATAGAATAAATAAATAAATAAAAATGTTAAAGGATTTGATTAGCGCGTTGTACAAGCGCTCACGGAGGAATTTCGACGAGATAGGCGATCTTTACATTTTAGGCAAAATTCATGAGGACGTGTTTACGTAGGCTCGTAACTCGGCGAATTCACAGACTGGAGCCTGAATAATGCACCATTCGATAGCACAGTTCCTAGTAACTTTGACTGAGAAAAGCAAGCAGGCAAGGTTTCTGACAGATACGCGAGAAGTGCGGCCAAAGTTACGCACTTTCGTGATGCAGTTACAGTCACCTCACCGTATCTCTCCAAAAAGACCCTGTAATCCTCGAAGACCACGATTTTCGTAAAGAGCGTGTTTGAAAACCTCTTGAGCGAAGTTTCCTTACAATTCAAGAGCATCAACATTTTGACTAAAATTCATCGGCGAGCTTCTGGAGCGTAAAACGAGAAAAAATGGAATAACCCGCACATATCGGAAAACTTGCTCACAGAGGTTATCCGACCTGCTGATTTTGAAACTCACATCTGCTTAGCAAGATAGCTTCGTATCCTGCGGCTATGGCGAGTAGAATTTGGGACAACAAGATTTTTCCACAATTCACCAGCCGTTCTATTTCCTTTGAAAAGGAACCTGCGGCTACTATTTAGCGCATCATAATCTACAGAAAAACTGCTATCGAAAGATCCTTGCTGGAATGTACTCGGGACAATGCTCGTTGCTTTACACCTTCGCGAAAAGACGTCCTCAAAAAGATTCAAAAATACTGAAATCGAACTATCAAGGACATGCTGTATATAGGAAAATTCGCCTTGATGAGCTGAGCAGGGCGCTGCTTTCGGATTCAAACTATACTTATTCCGAAGGAAGTTATGGCGAGTAGAATTTAAAAACGCGTGATTTTTCCGAAATTCACCAACGCTTCTATCTCCTTTGGAAAGAAGTCTGAGCCAATTTTTAGCGGATAATCTACAAGAACAGCATTATCGAATAGTACCGAATAGTAATAATAGTATGGTACTCAGTAAATTCTTCTATTTTGGGTAGGCGTTGCTTCACATATTCGCGAAAGGACCTCCGCAGAACAAATTGAAAAACTGAAAACGGAATATCGAAGACATCGTACCCCCACTTCCATTACATCAGAAGATTCTCCGCGCCGAGCTGAATCAAATGGTGGCTTTGGATTCAGAATTCGCCCACTCTGAAGCGAGATATGGCCACGCGACGCTGATGTATGGACATATCCATACATGTATGGACATGTACGGACATGTACGGACATGTCCATACATGTATGGACATACATACATGTCCATACATGTCCATACATTCGCGGCTATTTTTCAGAAAATGTGAGCGGTATTGTAGGCGTACATCGCTTTGGTCAAACGATCTTTACCGGTACGTATCACTTGTTTTTTTTCAAAAATTATAGTAAAGTAGATGGAATGTATGACTCTCGATGAACCTCGGCATGGTGGTATTATATTGTGTTGTTTGTGAGCCGTGACCCTCAGGGCAGAGGCGGGGATTGCATGGTCACCGGGTCATCTATATGATCTCCTGCGACGACTGCGGCGAGGAGTAAATAGGTGAGACGGCGCGTCCGCTGTGTGTTCGCATCAAGGAACACTTACTAGGAAAGGATACTTAGTCGAAAGCACCGAGCCAGATGAGACATATATCATTGTGAGCTGCTCGGAGCGCTGATTTAAAATCTGGCAAAATCAGCTGCGAAGCGCCTTTGGGTAAGGAGCTATGACCGTTTCAAGAGCCAAAAAATTCAATGGGTAAAGAGAGTAAAAGTGATTGTTACAACATGTAAATTTTGCAGACAGACTCATTTTAAATGTGTGTATAGCAGACAGACATTTCTCTTTGCGCAGAGTAATCTGACAGACATCACTCCCCCATTCGAGCCCAACTGAAGACTTCTGCGTATAATTTTTTTCTTCCCTCGACTTCAAATTTTCTTCACAAAAACAACCATAACTCGTTGCCCAAAGGCGCTCCGCAGCTGATTTTGCCAGATTTGAAATCAGCGCTCCGAGCACGTCCAGATGATATATGCATCATCTGGATTGGTGCTTTCGACTAAGTATCCTCTCCTTGTTAGATGGCAGGGATAAATCGCGCACATCCACTCCTCTGGGCACTCACTGGGTTCAGAAACATGCGGGGACAAATTTCAGAGTTTCGGTGAAAATCCTGGCACACGGATCCCAAACTTCAGCTTGCAAATGTTTGGAAGCTTTTTGGATTCACGCGAAAAGTCCAAAAATGAATCGCAAAGACGAATGCCTAACGATCACACATGAACTCGCGCCCTACTTCGGTCAGCTCTTCTGACCTAGTCTTCTGCTATAAATAGTGGTCTTTTTATGCGGTCAGTCATTCATCTTGCTCTCACATCAATTTCGTCGGCGTAACCCAAAAGGTGAGTGTTTGGCTATCGGCTATCAGCTGAGCTAGTGGTCTAACAGGAATCTTGACACTTTGCTCACATCGCTGCAGAGACGTTGTCGAATGAATTGCAGATCGTATTACCCATTTCAAGCTCTGAAGAGGCGATCTGCCCAAACGTTAGCCAATAAAGTAATGTAACAGTCTCGGTCACGGCTCACAAACAACACACAATATAATGAAGTAATCTCTGCAAATTATCAAAAAATATATTTATGCAAACGTCCATGTTTCCTTCACTCAAAAATTTATTTGTTGAACCACAGAGAGTGCTGTGCAACTGTTCTTCTTATTTTTGACTAACTTTGTATTATTCCTATCTTGAAATTACGAGAATGCATCTCAAAGATAATAATTTATACTTTAATGCGAATAAATGCGCTACCTCAAATGAGCGACCTCGTTTTTGTATTTGCATGAGAGAAACATTAGCAGATAAGCTTTTTTTCCATTCAAATAAGTGTTTTAATTCGCCAAGAATCATCTTTAATGCCAGGTTCCATATACGCATCCTTCCTCACATTAAACATACAGCATTCGCAAGACAACGAGAGATGATATCGTAATCGTGCCTCTATTAATTTTCACCCAATCGTCTTTGTTTGGTGCGATATGAATAGAGTAAATTTTAAAATGCGCCAGCAACGTTTGTTGACCATTTTCGCGATTTCATGGGAAAAAATGCGGCCAAAGAACTATAGATGTCCGAGCTTTTTTTTTGTTTTGAAGAAATGGCAGCGGAGTTTGTTCGTGCTAAATACGAAGATTTGAAACACATATTAACACGAAACATCTTGTAATACTTTGGACTGCTGCTTTAATTTCTCTATGTACTCAACTGTGCTGCATTTCAATTATGAAAAAATTAAAATTTGTGAGCAAGACAGCACCCCTTTTCTATTTCTGCAAAAATTGCTTTGTAGCAGCAGTGCAGCTCCCAGAAAGAAGTTCAGTTATATGGCTTTACACTGATGAGAGATATATTGCAGATGTCCGAGCCCCTTTACAGACAGATGTGAGTTAACATTGATGATGATAATATTACACAAATACTCGCTGGTTATTGTTACCTGTAACTTTGGGAACTGCTGCTAGGAGCTCTAATATGGAGGGCAATGGATAAAGATCTGAAGGCCCACGTAAAAGCATAAGAGCACCTGTTTGGAGTATCCATCACGAGAAACATTCATGAACTTTGAAGCTGACAATACAAAGTAATTAAGAGAGTAGAATTCATGAAATATCAGCGGAGCAAACACTGTCAATTACCCAAAATTCTGACTTTTAGCATTCACTCTTCATATAGAAGTTTCAAGACAACTGGTCATATAAACGTAATCGTACTCATCTCTTCTGAAAGCGAAGGACAAAACGATTTCAAAAGAACTCTACACGTAGTTCTAGCTGCTCATCTACAGAAGGAGGGTTCTCATTTTGAAAACCTGTACATCTCCAAAGGTTTCGGCACCCCTTTCACCAAGTGCTTTGCGCAGTGAAACCCGAGTGAACTTCATATTTCTGAGAGCGGGGAAGATGGTCAGATGGCCTTAATTGTGTTGCAAATTTCAAAATTAATTTGTCAACTTAATTTAGGGACCACGGTAGATAAGCACAGAAGAATGAAGAGATACATAAAAAAAAGACCGCCGCCAAATTCTCAAACCAAATGTTATGTGTGCAATTGTAAGATACATCTTTTTGAATTTGATCTGCAAATTCGTCACTCTGAGGTCTACCGCCGTGAAGCTTAAAGATTGCAAAGAAAGACAATACATGGGGTCCTTCAGATTCTGAAGCATCCAGGTTCTTCTTAGAAAATGCTTGATTTCACCCTGTACCGTTCACTGTAACACAGTGAGCTTATCACATGTGTATGACTTACTTTAGTGATGCTGCTGCCCATCGCTCAACTTTTTTTCCCATTCCAGAATTCATTTGCCATCATAAAGGCGGAAAAACTTTCAGTTCACACACTAAATCCATAACCCTACAGAAGTTCGTTCACTCAATGACAACAGTTGTTCCAGAACTCCTTCCTCTCTGCCGATTCCCGATTCGAGTGTTTTTGAGAGCGAAAAGAGAAATATAGATAAATGTCTCAATCGAAACTAAAGTGCAGTTGGCGCTCAAAGGAAAAATTGAAATTTCGATGTATCAAGAGAGCAGTCGTTTCTCACGGACACGGCAATCCTAGTGGCAAGCTTTGATCAACGTACAAACTACAAGACAGATTAATGATAGTGAACAGTACAGGGTGAAATCAAGCATTTTTCACGAAGAATCTGGTTGCTGCAGACTCTGAAAGACCCCATGTATTGTCTCTCTTTGCAATCTTCAAGCTTCACGGCGGTAGACCTCAAAGTGACGAACTTACAGATCAAATTCGAAAAGTTATATGCTGCGATTGCACACATAACTCTTGATTTGAGAATTTGATGGCGGTATTTTTTCAATGTACTACCCCTTCATTCTTTTGTGCTAATCTACCGTGTGTCCGTAAATTATATTGACAGATTAATTTTGAAATCTGCAACATGATGGAAACATCTGAACATCTTCCCTGCTCTCAGAAATATGCATCAAGTTGATGCATAATTTCTGCACCAGAATAGGCATAGACCGCAAAAATCCGGAATAATCCTACATCCCAAATGGGATTCGATATATCATAAGATAGAGCAAACCTAGTTTTAAAAGAGCTTGAAGATTTGCAGCAGCTTTGACCTAAGCGAAGATTGAAGCCAAAAATGAAAAAGATCCGAGCACCCCAAAAAACCAAGAAAAAATTGGAAGTCCGTTCAGAAAAATTTTGAAATCCCTAACTTGCTTATGACGCGTATGGCATTTCTCTCTGTCATGACACGTATGACATATCTCTATGCAGTTGCTGTATTTTTTCTCAGCTGAATGTGAGAAAACGAAGTTTTTCATGTTTTTGCCATATCAGTGCTGAGATGTTCTAGCACTGGCAATTGTGTACTACAGGACTTTAGAAGCATGAGTGTGAATTTTCAGCTTTTTACAGCAGCTGTTTAACGAGAAAGAATGAATTTTTAGCAACTAGGCAAGAAATGTTTGGATAAGGAGAGCTAGATTCGTCATTTCTTGTGAACTAGCAGTTCTAGAGGGTTAGAAATGTAAACTTTCAGTGCTAACGGCATGTACTATACAACTGTTAGTGCTAGAACATCCCAGCACTAATTTGGCAAAAACATGAGAAACTTTGTTTTCTCATCGTCTAGCTGCGAAAGAAATACAGCAACCGCATACATAAATGTCTTACGTGGAATGTCTACGCGTGAGCAAGAAGGAAATTTTGTAGGAGCTTTTTGAACGAAGTTACAATCTTGTTTTGATTGGTCTTAAGGTTCGGACGCATGCTTTTTTTCAGTTTTTGGCTGGAACTTCGAGTGGATCAAAGCTGTGAAGATATTTGAGCACTATCTTGTAAAGCTAGGTTTGCTCTATTCAATGGTATATCGAAATCTATTTAGGATATAGGATTTTCGGGATATTGCGGTCTGTACCTATTTTGGTGCGGAATTATGCATCAACCTAATACTTCACTCGGGTTTCACTCTGCAAAGTACTTGATAGAAGGGGTGCAGACGACCTTTGAAATGTACGGGTTTTTAAGATACACACGGAACGCTAAGTCTAAGTGAATTTCTTTAACAAGAGTGCAGCTGCTTATATCTTGCACGGACGCGATATGAGAATCACCGACCTTCCAAAACGAAGTTTAGAGCATCTTAACGTCCTTTTTTATTGGAGTCACCTTTCACACTGGACCTGAGATGTATCGAGTATGCGGGTATTGTTAATTCACTTCCAGTTGAAAGCAATGTCTAAATCTCTAGTAGGAATGCAGCTCTCGATTTTTAAAAAGGAAAAAAAATAGCACAAGCGATACTGCAAGAAGGCAGACAAAAAAGCCCTAAAGTTTCATCAAGATTATGTGTATTTTAACTGCGGAAAATGTGTCGCTCTACTGACAAATAAAAAGCATGGTACGGGACGTCAAAAGCATATTGAGTGCCTTTTGGGTGTTAAAAACAATGAATGTAGTCATTAGGGGGCAACAGGATAGCATCAGAATTGTTTAAAAAAGAGATACTAGGCTGTTGACTTAGTTTTGCAACGGAGTCCGTACTTTTTTTTGAAATTGGCGCGCTATTTTTGATATTGTATAAATTGCCGTGCGAGCTACAAATTGGCACAAACTGCTTTCTTTTCGATAGCAAAATAAAAAAAAATCCAATAAATTTTCGAGAACTACTAGAATTCGGGGGATTTATGGGGATTTGAGTAAAAATGAGGCCATTCTCAACCTAGACCATACACAACGATCCGAAATTGTACATGAATGTTGCTGAAGCTTGATTTATTTAGATTAATAAAGAAATAAATTTGAAGACAACTCGAGATTTGGCGTCCTAACAAAGTTGAATGAGCGGTGTACGCAAAGCTTATTGGGGACAAGCGTCAATTAAAGAGTCGGATTCTCAAGATTCGCTAAAACTTTGATTGATGGGGTTATTTGAAGTACCAAACACAAATATTATATTCGTTAATAGAATTAGCGCTTATTTCTTGTTTAGGTGAGACCACATGCCATAAACCAACAGTAATTGTGCAGAAAAGCCCTTCATGCAATTTTAATATCGTATTCGTGATGAGCATGTCTGATAACGCCCCTACGCCAAGTTTCAGCCAAATCTGTGGTATTTCATACTTTTTCCCTTATACCATATGCCTACTGTAACCCTAACTGCGACGTCAGGATTTGGTAAAACTGTGGCTGTGCTTCTAGCTTACGTTATAGCCGACATAATGACCAAATTTGAGTGTATCATATTCAAAAAGAAAAGTTATAATAGGGGTTGCAAAACTTAGTTGGCAACCTAATTGAATTGTTAAAGGATTGCTATCTGAGATTTAGGCTTTTCTGTTTACTTACTTACTTAGATACTTAGATGGCCCGTCTTCACGTGCGTGCGGGCTTCAGCACAAAAGTTTCCATCAATCCCTGCCCCTCGCTCAGACATCCGCGATCTTCTTGAATGACGTCGGTAGCTGCGTTCACGAGTTTCAGGTGCGAAAATCGTACCCAGCTGATTTCTCAGCTGGTCCATCCGTTCCACGAACACATCTGGCCATTCCGTTAGAGGTCTTCCTCGGGGACGTTTTGCTTCGCGAGGAATCCACTTAGATGTTCTTAGTGTCCATCTATCGTCTGTTCTTCTCATGATATGACCGGCACATCGATGTTTCGCTTTCGCAACGTATTTGGCTGGGTCACGAAGACGGGACATTCTTCTCAAATCCGTACTGCAAAGTCCGACGAGATATTGCTTGTGTCGGCTCATCTACAGAAGACTGCGCTTAAGCGCTCTGTGGGTGGCCCGTAAAACTTTCGACGTGGCTATTTTGTCAGCCCAAGTCCCAGCTGCGTAACAGAGTGCTGCGAGAACAGTTAAGTTTAACAGGTGAACACGAAGCTCCGGTTTGGATAGTTTGTCGGTGGCTTCCTTCAGAGGCCCGAAGGCGGCCCAGGCTGCTCTTCTTTCCCTGTTTAGTTCTCCCCTCAAGTCGTTCTCCATGTTCATCTAACGTCCCAGATACACGTAAGAAGACGTCTCCATAATAGGGGTGCCTTCCAATCCCATTTCTGCATCTTCGCAAAGGGCGTTCCTCATGAACTGAGTTTTCTTCCGATTTATTCGCAATCCGTTCTTTTTCTCTACTTCGTTTAGTTCCTTCAGCATCGTCTCTGCTTCAGTGATATTGCTCGGGAAGAGAATGACGTCATCTGCAAAACCAAGGTTGGACAGTATACTTTGGAAAATTCGAAATTTTTTTCGAATATTCGAATATCGAATAATATTCGAAGATTGAAGTTTTCGAATATTCGACTATCGAATAATATTCGAAAATCGAAAATTTCGAGTATTCGACTATCGAATATTATTCGAAAATCGAAAACTTCGAATATTCGACTATCGAATAATATTCCAAAATCGAAAATTTCGAATATTCGACTTTCGAATAATATTCGAATATCGGATATCATTCGATTATCGAATGTTATTCGAAAGTCGAATGATATTCGAATATCGGATATCATTCGATTATCGAATGTTATTCGAAAGTCGAATATTATTCGAATGATAGCTATGGGATATCTGAACGTGGCCTACTTATGTGCATATGATTTGCAAGCATTGAGATTGGAATTTGTAGTTCCTTTTAATGTAACTACTACTTCAACAATGAAATGCTCTTCATTTCTTAATAAGCATGTGCATGCAAACTGTGCGACAAAAATTTTCAACCGTCGAAAACATAGAAATCTTCATCTGAGATGACGGGTTCTTCCAAGTCTTCAGAATGCGTTCCTTCTGAGCTACTGTAACTTTCACTACTTTCTTGAGGGCATCCATAGCATAAGTATTGGCGTTGGGTCCATGCTTTCGAAGCTCTAAAATTACAAATTAGACTGAAACAACCATACCGTGTCTCATCTGCTGTTATCCTTATTGCTATTCGCATTTATCAAGAGGAGCAATCTCGCATTCTTCGCCGTCAGCTTACCTCGTCTCTTGTTTCCGTATATTATGCCGGCAGTGTTGAAACATGAAATAGCGAGGCGAGTTGCTGTCGAAGAGTTCAAAGAACATACCTGAAGAGACGTTCACTATTAACGGAGGTGCAAGGAGCCACTAAGTATTCTGAGGCAGAAGACGCTAACGATGGAAATTGAGTTTGATGGGATCGCCACCAGCAGATGGGGTCCGAATCGGGGCTGGGGCGGGCGTCTCCTCTGTTCAGTTGCATTGTGTATTGTTGCAGCTCCATCTGAATCTACATACGTTCATATTGTCTAAAAACATTCTTTTACCTGCAAATCCTCCTCCTGCATCTGGGAACTTCTAGTAGGCGCTCTAGTAGGACTTTGCGTAGTAAGCAATGACCATACATCGGTGCTTTTCGGAGTGCTGGATCGTTCAGTAGCATCGTCATCAGACTCCATTGGGGTGAATGAATACACTGAAACTCCAATGAATAGCTGTAGAATTAAATTTTTTGGCTCAAAAATAACTTACTCTTAGTCGCTAAAAAGCGGTTCATGGTTTCCTTCCATTCGTCTCTTGTCAAAACTGTTTCGAGAAACGCGAACCTCGGATCGCAAAGAGATGCAAAACGTAATGGCTGGCTAAGGAAACACTTTGCAAAGTATTCCTTCGTCTTCTCCAATAGTTTTTCTCCGAATTGCAATGCTTCTCTCCGCGCTGCCGTCAAGTTTCTAAAATTCGCTTGTCTTTCTGCAGCATTTCATAGATCAATGCTTACTCTTCGGTTACGATCAGTAACTTGCCAACTGGAATGTACATAGAACAGCATGAAGATTGAAAGAAGACCTATAATAGAGTAGCTGCTGCACAATAATATCGTATTCATGGTTTTACCTGACTGGTCATAGCTTGGTATGGTTGTAAAAACGTTCTCATTGCCTTTAAGACGCGAAGCTCTCCATCCTCAAGCGGGGATAAGTCAAATGATGTAATCAGCTTTTCAACTGCGGGCATCTGTGATGGAAATTCAAAGAGATGATTATTTGTTATCAAGATATAAGACTCTGCGTGATCGCGAAGTTCGGTAAAATTGCGGCTACTGCTCACTTAAGATGCCGTAAAGCCCAGTTCTATTGAACAATCCTTATATACCTTTCATCACTTCAGATGGCTTACGTCTGATAGCAGAAAAGCGTTTGACAGGAAACAGGAAACTCAGAAAGCTTAATGACTGAGCAATGGTCGCAATCTCACCACCCTTCAGGATCAGCACAATCACATAGCACACTCGCTGCATTCAAAAAGTCGCATAGCATGAAATAGGTGGAAGACCATCTTGTTGGAGAGTCGTTCATAGGGATCACGCACGGAAGGTCATCTTCGTTCAAAAACCTAAAGATTAAGAGTTGAATAGCTGCATAACTTCTATGACGCCCTATGCACCTTTTAAATGCCTTCTTCATCTTCCCACTTTTATTCAACTTGGCAACAAGAGAATTTACTCTCTTTAGAGCGGATGCACAAGCGTTGGAACTGAGAGATGCCGACACAGCTAAGTTGTTGACATGCGCGCAACAATGGATGCTGAATAGTTGGTTGGAAACTAACACACTGATTGAAACTTATACGCTGTTAAGAATGACGCTCACTATGGGATGCCCAAATCCGAGGCTGCTTTGACCATAACCGCCGCACCATCGGCAACCATAAAGCATATGCTTTCCTTTGAGATACCGATACTCGAAAGACTTTGGGAGATCTTGAGCTCGACTAGCTCACTGGTGTGGCAAAACAATACGATGAGTCGCCAAAGTCTTAATGAGTAAAAGGATGATATACCTCTCCTCATCCAAGGGAATGCAGTCTAGGACGACATTGACTCTTTCAGAAAAGTAATTAGTGTCCCGTGATTGCTAGCATAGAACAAGAAGCATTCTTGGAAGTCCATGCATCAGTTGTTATTGCGACTCGAGAATCACCAGAGCAAAGCCTCCTATTTTCTTCGTCAATGTTGGCCAGCTCTTTCTGCATAAGGTTTGAAAGCGTCTTCTGGCTTGGTACAGCGTATGATGCATTCAGTGACTGTGAGAATTCTTTGAAAGATGGGAGCTCCGTTACGTGTAACGGCAGGGATGCTTTAGCCAAAAATACGATCAAATTCTTGTCGATGTGCTCCTTGTGTTCCTGCTTATCTTTCTCTTGAACATCTCCTCAATTTTTGGCTGGTTTTTTGCTCGCTCACTTGCTTCCATTTTGGCTTCTTTTGCAAGATTCTCTACTTCTGTTTTGTGCTTCCTTCGCACATGTTCAAGTAAATTTGTTGTTGTTCTTGATTTTGGAAGACGGAAAGATTTTTCGCAAAAGTTGCAGGTGGCGCACTCGGTGTTGGTGTCAGCATCAATAGTCTTCTTATAGTAGTTCCAAACAGAGCTCATTGCTGAATAAACGATTCACCCATACTTTAGTGGAACGAATGCGTCGCTTTCCGAAGGTTGACTACTGAGTTACAAAATACCTTTCTCGTCTGGTCCTGTTGGCAGATCCTTGGGTGGTGCTTTCCTTCGTAAAAAAATATTATGGAGGTGTGTCAGAATGATCAGATGCCACTATTGGTAGATTGGACGATCTTGGGACCCAGTAAATAGCCGCACTAATTACAAAAAAAGTTAGAATGATAGCGAGTAAACAACAGGTAAGAAGTAGTAGGCAAACGTATTGACCTATCTTAGAAAATACAGCGTTTCCTTTAGATATTAACAAAGTCCGAATATTCTTATGATTAGCAAAATTAGGATATACCACAACGTGGCCCCACTGAAAAGTTGAGTTTTCATTATTGCTCTCACGAAAGGAGGATAAAATGTGTATACAACGAATGGGAAAATATTTCAATAACTACAGTGCTAAGCAATAAAGAACGTGAAGAGCTACACAAAATTATCCGCATTATGCACTGCAATTGTGTTTCGCTTAGCACACTCTGTCTCACAGGCACCAACTTGTAAAACGCGTGTCCGCTCCTTTTGCGCGATGTACTATCGCACCATCCGCCCTAGCATTTTGAATCTGTCTGCATGCTTTCATTTCCTCAAATCTATGTTTGGCAAAGTAAAGTACGCTTTTGTTGTGGCGCAAAGCTTTGGCAAAGTGGGCGCAGAGCACCACATCGTAAGCCTCGGTCTCTTTCTTCGCCAAACCGACTGTAAGGACTAAGTGAAGCCGCGACTGATGGTTGCGATAAGTACAGTGTATATAATGCGGAAGGCGCTTAAAGTAGTGAGACAATTGTGCATTCGACAAGCGATAATCGATGGAAAACAAAGTATCAGAACCTGTCAAACTCAGCTGGGTAGGTGAACGAGCCTCGACATTTTGGACCATGCGGCACTGGTCCTCGCTATGCTGTTGCATGTCATTGAAGGGCCAGTAGTCCGCTAAGATGGTTTCAAATGGAGGAGTTCGCCCCAATCCGATAGCGTGACGTTAAAGAAAGCTTTGACCGCGGACTTTTGATAAGCCTCGCCTCTTTTGAAAATAAGAAACCATCCTGCCAGTGAAAATAACGCTAGTGTGGTTAACAAGGATAGAAGATCAGTCATAGGCCTTCGTCATACATTAGAAGAAATTGATCAAGTTCGTTCCCAAAAACCAGGAAATGACATTCCACATTTCCATAGTGTCCATAAATTGGCTGACTTAAAATGGTTCTTACCTAGAAAGGAGATATGTGAAATTGAAAAAAACTCAAAAATAGCTGTCACCTTGCCGCATCAATTCATGAAGGTGACAGCACTAAGTCAAAACCCACCTTTCCTTTTGATCTTGTGCTGGCTACTCTTTAGCAGCGTTCTTTGTAAAATATAAAAGATGCTTCCTTATAAAGAGATTGTTAAGACGCCACTACGTGGCCACTATGAGCAATACTGGCGAGACGATGGTATTTAAGGTCGCCCTGAAGGGAAAAGGTAAATGGGCAATGGATAAAAGCTAATTTAGTAAGCTACCCTTGAAAAGGCTTTTCTTCCTTGCAGATGACCGGGCTAGGTTAACTATGAGATTGGCAAGTAGTCACTACGTGGATGCACTAAAGGAAAAAGCTTGTGAGGAATGCAAACAAAACATAGGATAGAATTCAATGCCTTAGCTAAAACAAGCCTTTTCTCTTCAGAGATCATCAGGGTCGATTATATGAGAGACTAGCTGGCATACCCGGCTCCGCCGTATGTTCCGAATAGAAAATTCCATTTCTCAACCGATCCGAACCAAACTTGGCACACATACACTTCGGGCCCGGCGGGTGTCACAGTCCACTTTTCGTTATCGATTGATGCCGATTTTATCGATTTTTTGCAAAATTTGAGCTAGGGGGCTGGGATTTGGCACAGGGGGGTAATCGAGCATGCTGATCACCCCGTGGGGGTGATCAGCATGCTCGATTACACCCCTGCCAAATTCCAGCCCCCTAGCTCAAATTTTGCAAAAAAATCGATAAAATCGATAAAAGTAATGCACGATTTTAAAAACTAATATTGTATTCGAAATCCCCATGCTCACTTACCCCCCTGTGCCAACTCCCAGCCCCGTAGCTCAAATTTTGCAAAAAATCGATAAAATCGATATCGATAGATACGAAAAGTAGCCTATGACACGCGCCGGGGCCCGAAGTGTATGTGTGCCAAGTTTGGTCCGGATCGGTTCAGAAATGGAATTTTCTATTCGGAACATACGTACAGACAGACATACATACAGACAGACAGACAGACATACATACATACAAACAGACATTCAGCTTTATATATAAGAATGGCGAGAAGCTACTACGCAGTCGCACTGAACAAAACGATGTGATTTCTACTGATGAAAAAACAGAATGGAAATAGGGTAAAAATGAGCGAGAAAGAGTCACCTCCTAAGAGGAAGAGGGCGAAATTCTTCCTCAGAGAAACAATCGCTCGATAACAACGCTTGTTATCGCGACATAGGGGATGGCGTGACATCACAAAACTGTATTTAGGTTAGCGCGCTGGGACCCTCCAAATACAAACGCGAATATTTTGATAACTCGCTGACTAGAGAAAAGCGTATATCACTTTGTCGAAGGTATTCGAAGATCATCGAATATTCGAATATTCGATGTTCATCGAATACGCGAACAATTCGATAACTATCGAATGATCGAATCAATGGCTCGAATATTCGAATATCGAATAATATTTGAAAGTTGAGATTTTCGAATATTCGACTATCGAATATTATTCGAAAATAAAGAATTTCGAATATTTTATTCGAAATCTCACAATTTCGAATATTCGAATTTTCGATTCATTCGCATTATCATTCGGGTCCAAAGTGTAGTACCTACTAAGTTTAGGTATATAACTGGAGCCAGAAACAGTACTCTTAAGCCTTTGATTACACTTTTGACACGTACACTCAGTCATATACGAAAACATTTCATGAATTACTGCAATGTTATCTTTCATATAAGCAAAGTTAAACATTTTGGGCAATAAATAACAGTATAAAAGTACTCAAAGAACTCAGTGCCATTAGTGGTAACAATGAACTTTTTTCTGCAAACTTTTCTAGTCTATTTACGAGTTTACCATATTCGGTAGTCAGAGAGAATCTCAACAAACTCATCACACTTTGTATGCGAGGATTCAAATACATCGTCATTCACAATAATCACGTCACGTATTCTAACATAAACACTAGTAAAGGAACTTATTTTTAGAAAAAAGATATAGTTTATATGATAGACTCTTCTCAAAACAGTTACTCAAGCTTTGCAGGGGTAATATATAAACAAGAAAGAGGCATTCCTCAGGGAGCATCGTGTAGCCCACAACTTGCAGATCTAACTTTGGCATACCTTGAATTCGTGTATATCAGAAGAAGAATAGCCAATGATAATGGGGAAAACTTATACATATTCAACAATACATACCGATACATTGATGATATATTGCATATATCTAGCAACACAAATGCATTTGAACAATCCCTGCAAGATATTTATCATACAGATCTTAGCATAGAAAAAACTAATATAAGTTTGACTGAAACCAATTTTTTGGATTTAAACATAAGTTTGACTGAAACCAATTTTTTGGATTTAAACATAAGTTTGACTGAAACCAATTTTTTGGATCTAAACGTAAGGGTAGACTTTAATAATATATTTTCAGTTTATATAATAAAACAGACGCATATAACTTTGAAGTTTTGAGATACCCTAGATGGCAGTTATACCCAGATACATAGTTATTAATACTTTCAAATCTAAAACTCTTAGAATATACAGAAATTGTTGAGATTATTTATCATTCAAAACAATATTTAAACAACTTTGTAAACTCAGTATGAAAAATGGATGGGAAAAAAGAGTGTTGGTTAAAGCCTTATGCTATACTTTAAGAGATAATCCTCACATTTTGCGCAAATATGGTTTTAATGTGGCCGTACATTCACCGCTAATACATGAAATAAGGGAAATCTGGATGGAGTAGTAATCAAAAGAGTCAGAACGCGAAGTCGGTCAATCCAAGACCGTCAATATTTTAGCCAAAATCCGTCGGCGAGCCTAGAACGCGAAAAAATCAAAGGGCCCTAATTTCCTGGAAAAGTTGCGCATAGAGGTATCTAGCCTGCTGATTACGAAAAACAAACCTGCTCTGCAAATTAGCGTCTCACTGTATGGTTACGGTAGCTAAAATTTAAACATCGATTTTTCAAAATTCATCGGCCCATCTTTCTCTATGGAAAAGGGATCCTCTGCAACTCGTTAGCGCTTGATAATCTACGGGAGCAGCACTACCGAGTCATGTTTATTAGAGTCTTCCATGTGTTTCTTCGCTGGGTGACACCATTACGAAAACCCGTCCTCACACAAAAATCGAGCAGACTGAAAACGGAATAGTAAGGGGGTGTAGTATATCATAAGATTTATCTTGACAGCTGAACATCATGCTTTCTTTAAATTCATATTTCATGCAGTCTGAAGGAAGTTATGAAGAAAAAAACGCGGATGGTCAGTTTTTGCGTTTTCTGTCGAATAATTAGTGTGGGTACTGTAGTCTTGCAGTGTTGAATTTGAAGATATTCAATCAAAGGCCAATCGCATGGCTACGAAAGTAAAATATGCCAATGCTGAAGTGCACGCATCAATCATAAGGCTATAAAAATGTGCAAGCGACTTGCTCATACTTGTAGATGAAAATAATTTTCAAAACTTTTGAGAATCAAAATCAGTTGCTGTAAGAGGGCTAAGATTTCATCGAGTCGGAGATGACTATAGAGCTCGAGCAGGAAGTTGTCGGGCAGATTGCACTCTTATCGACGCATTGCTGGTCTCGCATTCAAAGCTCACAAGAAGGCTTTTTGAAGTACACAATGTGTCTAACCATATTCCTATATTATAGCCTTTTATTTATATAAAACACATTGTTTCCGAATTTATTGCCCACTAGTGGCACCCCCGGCCCCGCTCTTGCCCATCACCATGATTGCCACGTACCCCTGTGCCAATTCCCAGAGCCTCGCACATCAAAACCTGCAAAAATCCGATTTAATCGATGGCGTCGATAAAGGTAGCCTGTGACATTCACACGACACCGATGTATTGCGGAGCTTGGTCGTATCGGTTCAAAACAAAATTTTTTGATAATAAACGCTTAATTCTCATGCTGATTACCATGTTTGCAGAGTGTTAAGGTTCTCGTCTCATATATGCTGTAACTGCATTGTTGTTGTTAGCAAACCTTTCTACGTATTTCCTACCTAATAAGGAGGCACAGACAGTGCGAAATGTACGCCAGATACGTTACATAAAGCAAAACAAATCTTGTTAAGCCCCGAATGATCTCCCATGTCTGGTTAGTTGTTACTCACAAGGGCGCACCAATATTTCATCAGCCCTGGGGCCATATGCATGAAAGTTCCTGTGGCGGAGAAAGCGATACTACTCCAATGTAGAAAACGGCATAAGTGCTAGTGCATAATCTTTCAACTAGGAGCGCTGCTCCCCTCGCCGCTAGATCTTTCCTGCATATGGTCCTCAGAATGGTGGTGAGATACATGTTTTTCAAGCTTTCTTCTATCAGTGGAGAACACGATCCACTATATGCTAAGGTTTCCTCACGGGTTGGATTGGCAAGTAACAGTGTACATTATGTGACGGCCTATTCACGGTGAAGTGACGCAAAGTAAGGGCGTGACCGGGTGCAATATATTTTGTAGAAATTTTTACGGTCCTTGGCTGACTATAGCAAAGACGTCGTTTTCACTGCAACCACGTGTTCATACTTTAGGAATTACTTTTTGAAACCAAAAATTTCGTTATCAAAAGTTCTTCTTCGATTATCATTTTATAGGTTCAAGATGTTTGTGCACCCGAGGTATAAAAGAGATCAGAAGAATAAAAGAAAAGTAAGCAAACTTCCAAATAATCAGTATGTCTACTTCCCCTTGCGCGGATGCAAAACTTATGCAGAAGCTTAACTTCTGCATAAGTTTGTTTCCGGCTCGCAGGCCGGCTTTCCGGAATGGTGATTGCATGGGCGTGCACGAACGGGCGGACATAGATGGGGAGGGCGGTGCCGTCTGGGGTCCCGGGCATCTTCGTCATTCCGGAGCGATTTTCTCGCTTTCGCGGTTTTTTTTTTCGCCGCGACATGGGCATTAGATTGAAAGGGGGCCTACTATCATATGGAGCCAAAAGTTCAGGACCCTCAACTTAGGGTGGATGGTGCCTTTTTACTCACATAAATAACTAATGACGCTAGAACAAATCACTTTCTTCTCAACACTTTGTTTCATCATGCTATTTTTAGGATGCCCCTGTTATTGTCCTTTGAACAAATTTCTTTGGACAGTCATAAAAATGCTGCTGCCAACATCTCAACACTGTGAATATCAATGCGAACTCGTGGACAGAACGGAACACGAAATTTCGTACGACTTTCATTTCTCAAATGTAACAGCGTACAGTATAAAGCTAAATTCAACTTCGTTTTCTAGCAACAAAAGCGCAGCCGCTTTCATCTTGCATGGATGAAACATGAACCATAACGACCTTCCGAAGCAGAGTTTAGAGCATCTGAACGTCCTTTTTTCGTTGGAGTCGCCTTTTCACTCTGGAAATGAAATATATCGAGTTTGTGAATCTTAATAAATTACCTACTTCAATTATTAGAGTACTCAAGCACCGTCTAATTGGCAATTTGGCTGATCAGAAGTTAGGTTTCAAACATCTCTAATGTTAAACATTTGATCATCTGAGCAGATATCTATAGCTCTACTAAAAGCATGGGTCTCATGTCGTTTGCTTTAAAACTTCAACAAAAGCATTTGAACAACATTCGCCAGGACCCGACAGAAAGGTGGTAAATGTCTAGCTGATTTTTTGCAGAAAAAAAAGAGTTGTGAAAACACATGTATGCGCACAAGTATCCGGATAGATAGACACACGATTGAGTTACATGACATAGCCTTGCTCAAGACAGAAAATGATGTGTGACAAGCTTTTTTGGAAAGTTCTCATTAACGGAAAATAGAAAGATGATTTTCCAAATTAGCTGGGCAATTGCCACTCTAATGCCACGCTGAGTGTGACAAAACTTGAGTTTGCTTATGTTTTATAACTACGTAAATTTGTTCTACATCTAGTGCTCACGTATATCAACATCCTACTCCAAACTCTCTTTTCCTCGCTGCTGGGATTCGACGTCCGACGCATTTGCGCGATCAAGGGGAACATCGTAGATTTAAAAGTGGCATAGGCAAAAGTTTCACGTTCGACTTGCCGCTGTGCCGGGTCCTGTCCGCTTTCTCTACCCATATAGCGTTACAGTAGCATCATGCGTGGCTAGCAGTCCCATCGGGAAATTTTTTTTGCTCTATGCGTTCAGTTTTTGAAAACTTTCCTGCTGTCATTTATCAATGCTAATGTTCGTATCAAGGTGCTGGTGATTACTTCAATGCTACCATGACGTACAGATTAGACTCGCGCTACTTCTATCCTTATGGCTACTTTTAACCATGGTCTCCTAGTGATACTGTCGACATAATCACATATGATAAGGTAATGCTCTGTAAATTTACCAAAGCATGTAAATGTAACAGAGTCCAGCAGCAAGACTGGCACTTTCGCACGCTTGACATTGTCTTTTAGCGGAAAAGCAGGGCAAAGACAGTGAGACATCTATAGCCTCAGAAAGTTATGATATTGTTATACGGTTATAACGGCGGTTATACGACCAGCAGCTTTTGTATAATCGTCCTCAGTCCACTAGTTGGAGCAGGCCATTTGCAGCAGATGTGGCATCCCCTGTCTTCGAGCTTACGCGCGATTTTTCTTTTGTGGTCCTCCATGCTACTTCTTGTGTTTCAATAATGCTCGTGGTGAAAGCTACTCCGTTGTTGTGGAGCAATGTTCAAACAGTTATTCCTGTTTATTTGACTTCTAAACAAGCATGGAAAAACGATGGAGATGAAGAATTTTTGCTTGTAAGCACTTGTTCGGTAAGTAATGTATTGAAGTACTGGTTCAGTGAATCGAATGTCGCAACATTATTTCTCCAAGCTTGGGATTTGAAGGAACGACCACAGCAAACCAGTAACCAAAATATCGTGAATCACTAAAAAATATTGTGGGAACACAAGAAATAGCATGAAAATACGAAAAAATAAAAAAGCATGCGTGTGTATGAACTGAGGATGAGTGTGCTGCGATTTCCGAAGCCGGCATGCTTTAGTCCAAACTTGAACAACTATCAGGGCCCGGCACAGATCGCCTGGAAGCAGGCTGGACTTTGCTTTTGAAGGAAAATCAGAGGAGACATCGTTTCCGACGAGTCGAGGCCGAGCACCAAGAACAAGCGCCATTTAGTCAAGCCCAAGCTTTAGGACAGGTTATCACGCAATTGACATGCTTTATCGTGTGTGGCGAAAAGTGCTCGCGGTTTGAAAGCAAGGCTGAAATAAACAAATTGCTTGTTTACAGCGCACACAGAATATAACACCAAAATTGAACCGTATACATAGAAAACTATTTGCAGAGGATTTATGTAAAAAGATTTGAAAATTTATGTGAAGAAATACCTTTTTCAAAATTAGTCCTTCTCCAGACGGTCATTAGACGATCTGAGATCGTCTGCTATATTTCTGTCACTTCATATAAGTTCTGGATTCTTCTATCATGGGCGGATTCCCCGCTCAAAAATATGTCCCTGAGCATGAAGACATTTTCATATTATTGCCTTTTCATTTTTTGCCTTAATTTCTTCGTAAATCGCTTTGTTAAATATCGCGCTCCAATGCCAAACTCTTGAGCATGCTCAGCATTCAGCTCCAATTTGAATTTTCATTCTTGTTTCACGTTTTCTCTTCCAGGTGAAGTTTTGTTGTTTTCATTCTCATAAGTATAGGTCAAAGAGGACTTCGTAAAGCCTCCGAAAGTCAGGAAAGACTTCGTTTTCAGAAACCCTAGAAACCGACTCGTGCCGGGCCCTTATTACTCTTGAATGTCTAGTAAGCTGAGGACAAATTTACACATTTCGCTCGTCCAGCGGTCCGACGTACGGCGAGAAGTTGTGCTCACAACTTGATAGATTAGTGACTTATTCATCAGCAATCTTGAGTCACCCCATCGGTCTGCAGATTTGCCACCGTGTTGAAAAGAAAAGCACAAAATGACAAATTGTGCCAGTAGGAGTTGTGTTTTTTTATCTCAGGGAGATGAGATGCTATAGCCACCTGAAACTTGCATGGTGGCCTCTAAGTTGGTCGGCGCCAAGAATAAAGTCATGCATTTCTTGTTTTCTAACAATTTTCTAACATTTTAGCAAAAGGACGGTTTTTGATGTTCTCCACTGTCTTCGAAACCTTTCTGAAGGTAAGATATTAGATGCAACGCGAGAATATCGTCCTTTCTCCACTCTATAGCGGGTGAAGCTTTGCCGACGTTTGCCAACGTATGCGCGTGGCAGTTTTTGGCAGCTAGAGAAAAAAGTAATGCTTTAGAGTGGAAGCTCAACAAGTTTTTCAACGTGTTCAAATGTGTGCAGGGCCACGCCGGCTATACGCATAGACATTGCCCTCCGGCTCGCAGAAATTCTACGGATAGATGTTTTTGTCTCGGAGCCGTGGACATCTTCAAGGTCTGATCGCGGTCACAATTCAGCTGGCAGAATTTGTGGCGGTTCTTCCCCAATGTGAACAACGGGCATCACGGGTGTTGATAAGGGGAAGAGGTTAATGTAGAAGTTCTCCGGAATAGATTCCACCTTATATCGGAAAAAAAGTCGGAGTCCCGTCTTCGTTCAATAGCGCAGCCAGCGGCACGTGCATTCATAGAGGATGGCTTCGGCACTTTTTGAGTCTTCGTCTTTCTTTGGCTGCTTCCAGTAACTTTACTTGCTTGTACTTCTGGAAATCCTCCTGCAAAGCTCCAGAGCTTCGTGCCCATTTGTTCGACTGAACTTTTCTCCCGACCATCTTTTGGTCGGGAGAAAAGAGATTGGGCCGACACTGTAGCCAGCCACGTCGTAAGCTCTAGACCACCCACAGCTTGAGGGCAGTTTTCTGAAGATTATCCGACACAAACAACATCTTGTTGTACTCGGCAGTACGGATTTGAGAAGAATGTTCCGTCTTCGTGACCGAACGGAATACGTTGCGAAAACGAAACATCGATGGGCCGGTCACATCATGAGAGGAACAGACGACAGATGAACACCAAGAAAAGCGAAACGCTTTCGAGGAAGATCTCCAATGAGATGGGCAGACGTGCTCGTGGAAAGGATGGACTAGCTAAGAAATCAGCTGGGTACTATTTTCTCACCTGGAACTCGTAGACGCACCCACCGACCTCAATCAAAAAGATCGTGGATATTTGAAGCGAGGAGCAGTGAAAAATGGGAACTCCGTGCTGGGGCCCGTACGTCATGTAATGCCGGGCCCTCTAAGTATCTAGGTAAGTAAGTAATGTTTGTTTTGACGCTGCCCAAAAATGTCTTGTCCTTACAATTGAATTCTTAGTTAGTCTACTCGTACATACAAAGCTTAGCACTTATCGGTATAAGAAAACACTTTCTATTTTTACAACCTGCTTTACTTGTATGTGCACTGAGAGAAGTAGAGGCAAAGCGCTCTATGCGTTTCGCAAGCTTTTTGTTAACAACCTCGTCTCCATAATAAGACCGCTAATAACTTGCAAGGTACGTTCTTCAATCCTGCTTCAGAGAATCACTAGTTAACTTCTAACGATTTCCGGGCTTTTTATATAGTGTCATCAATGGCGTATCCAGGATTTCCGCTCGGAGGAGGGGGGGGACGAAAATTTTTTTCGGATGATGGTGCGTGGCGTTAGCCACGCACTCCGAAAAGTTTTTTGGGATGCTTTCCAAAAAATTCGCGGTCTCCTGACCCCAAAATTTTAGAAATAGGGGGCGTGGCGGCAGCCACCTCCCCCAAAAAAATTTTTACAAGGCTAATTCGAATTTTCGAAAATTTTTAAAAATTATTTTAATTATTTACACGTAAAAACAAGTCGCTTGCACGTTTTTATAACACATCTAAGTAACTTTAAAAAATTTCGCAACCCATTCTCGTCCCTCCCCCGCTCCTCCCCCCCCCCCCTCGGTACGCCACTGGATGTCGTATATAGGAGCATAAAACCAACAGTTGTTACCGGGCATAAATTGTAGAAACACTAGCGTGAAGCGAATTTCATATTTAGGGTCAGCGGTCCTCATCGCTCAGCGGTACAGCCTTTCTGAGACTTTCTGGCTTGCTGCTTTTCCCCTAAAGGACAAAATATGCTTCTGAATGGCTTAAGACTCTTCCTCTTCTATCGCAACGTAAATTAATAAAGAGAGATTGGTAGTTACTATTATACTGCAAATCCAAAT